AATAAGTACGTTTTTATGTAGAATTTACTGACATCACTGTCTTTAAACATATGTATTGAAAATACTGAATTAAAAAAAAGGGGAAAACCGTGAACTGAAAAGTTCATGATGTTTTATATCTTTCTCTGTACCATGTGCTAATTCTTTGTAAACCTCTGACGTTTATGAAAATTATATATTGTGCTCTGAGAGCGAAAATATGTATAAATAAACATATAAACATAAATTAAAATGTGATATTACCTGGGAAATATGCAGAGGTGTATAGGAAACTATCCCTTTCCATTGTAACAGAAGCCTCATGAATATGCTCATTTAAAGAACATTTATGTGTATCAGGTGTTGTTATGATTATTGTGAGTAAAATTAAATAAGCTTAAGAGGACAAAAACTGAGTCGGAGATCGGCTTTGTATTTCTTCATAATCATGCTTAAGTTTATGACATTCCACTTTGCTTTTACTGTCAGCCTAAACATGTTACATACTGTTATGCAAGCATCTATTCTTCTAGGCTGCTTGAGAAATACCTACACGTTCTAAATGTCATATCCTATTTTCTATTATGATCAACGTTACACTTCGTAGAACACGTTGCACGTATTATACTCTGAATGACATTGAACTAGATGGAGGTCACTTTAAAGCTCATGAGAGATCGCACGGTTGTCATTAGGTAATTAAGTACTTGTTCTTAATGAAACAAGATTTTCGCGACATCCGCTCGTAAAAAATGTCAAGGATTTATTAGCATTGTATTCTCTCGCGTTCGTCTTTTCCACTTAATACCCTTCACGTAAAATACCTTTTTAAAGATATATTGTATGCTAAAAATGCATTTCTTTTGTATTTGGTCTTCAATACTTCATACGTTTTTATCCTCCTGGAATCGTTATGGAAACTCTCTCTCTCTCTCTCTGCCTCTCTCTCTCTCTCTCTCTCTCTCTCTCTTTATAGCCCTAACGCCCCCTTTTCGTTTTCTCCTCTCCGTTTCCTTGCAATTTTCCCTGCAGTTTTTTTGAAACATTTTTTCTCCCAATTCTTCACATTCCTGTTATGTTATCTTCCTCTCTCTCTCTCTCTCTCTCTCTTTCTCTCTCTCTCTCTCTCTCTCTCTCTCTCTCTCTCTCTCTCGTTATCTCTTTCCCTCCCTATCCCATCTATCACTTCCTGTTTCATCCTCAATCTCCCATTTTATTCATCTTTGATATATACCCCTCTATCTTATTCGTCCTCTCCTTCTATTCATCATTCTCTCTGTGTGTCCCACAAGGGAGCTCTTTCTAGAACATCCTCATTTATTTTCTTCCAAATAGCGATTAAGTTCTGATTTCACCCACTCTCTCGAAACCCCAGCCTTATCCTAGCTTCGCAGTTGGCCACATGTTATTTCTATGTGCAACTGTGGCAGATAGAATAATAATAATTATGAGTTCGAAGGAAAATCGACGATTCGAGTTACATAGGCGAACAAACCCATGGGGCGTCAGCTGTCTGTATGATTTCTTCCACCGTATTTGCTCATGCTCTCTTGATGTCTTCATCGTCTGTAGCAGTCATGCATTTTATAATTCAAGCTCTCAGGTTTTGCGTCAACATTTCTGATTCGAGGTCTTAGAAATATGTCACCGCATGTACACAGGGATCGAGCGGAAGTCACACAGGCCGTGAGAAAGTTATTACGAGAAGTAGTGCAGGATGTGCTTGTCGGACAATTTTGTAGGTTTTTCCAGGAACTAAGAAATGAGAAAATGTAGGACTGGGCCCTAAGGATTTAAAAAGTATAATAATATATATTGATATAGTCGACGATTTTGCGGTAGGACTGTGTATGTTTAAACCCTGCGGTAAATTTTAAAATAACATCAACTGCTATTAATTGTTTTTTAAATGCTGACCAAATGTAACTTGGTAAACTGTTGGTGATCAAAATATCTGGGTTGGTTCATAGGAACATAGATAGCAGACACAATAGTTTCATTTTCACTGAAAACTGAAAATTAATTTTACAATCATTGTAGAATCTTTCCCCTCAGCAAAGTTCTCTTTGGTGCTGATAAGGAAAAAAGTTGAAATAGAATTATAACTCAACAATTATGCATTGTGGAGGAAAAGAACAATTCTCTGTAAAAGATCAAAGATCCTCTATAGGAGAAGATGCTGGAGTTCCCTCACAAATAAGCCGAGATTCATAACTGTTCATCTGCTTCCAAGAAAGCTATTTTGTCCTTGTTCACTTTTTTTAATGAATTCAGCTTACACGAGAGAAGAAACGAAAATTCTAGTTGAAGAAATTTTAATGGAAAAGTGCACATGTGTGAAAATATTCCTCAATAACCATGATGTGCGAATTGGGAATTAGAATAAACTGATGAGAATTACAATGTCCGAAATTATTAGGTCAGAGATGTTTACAGTTATGCAAAAGAAGACAAATGTCTATCTCGTCTGAATTTGGACTGATTTATGAAAACTCTTGGGATTTCATAAGAGTGTCCAATATCCTACATCTATATTGGGTAGAAATCAAATTAGAACAATTTTTTTGAAATTCAATATTCTGATTTATTCACACGTTCTTGGTTTGTGCCTATTCGGGTCTCCATTTCTCACTTTATTCGGACAGAAAAATCAATAAATTAATATCAAAATCATATTAAAACATACACATCGGTTTTGAAACGACATAATAATCAACTATTAAGACACATCTCTTAACAAATTTCCAGTCTGTCTCATAAAACCGTATAACTCACAAGTACATAACAATATTTGACTGTAGACATTATTAAAACAGAAATAATTCCACTTAATAATGCTTTTATCACGTTTATTCTCTTACGTTACATAATAAGCAAAAAAATAAGGTAATATATGAACCTACTTTACATATAAATATTTGACTTTAATAATATATAGCGCACAACTTTCAAACATTGATGAATACTTTTTCATTAGATAACTTTAACGTGGATAAGAACAAGTATCATACTATTTTCGTTAATATGCACAGTGATTTTGAGTCCACATGTCAAAGCCTGACTCCTGGAATCCATTAGGCTGGTTTCAACGATGTCAGAGAAAGTTTCATCAAATTAATATCCAAAAAATGAAAAAGAACTAATCAGAACAAACACCTATGAAATGGGACAATTAAATGATATTGCACAACAGTTATGAGGTAAAATACCGAAACCATTACTTCATTCATCACATTAATGCTTGATTTAAAATTAGTATAACAATTGTACCTACACAATGTCATCAGACGTACGTGTATGAATAATAATGATTTAGATAGATTTCTTCAGTCCCAAATTAAGGAAATATAAACCGAAATACATGTATAACACAGTTTAGTTTTCCCGCACACATCAATCAACCGAATTGATTTAGGTACATCATAGTAGGTCCTTCAGTTGCAATAATACGTTTGATATTAAAGATAAACTTGAGTTCTGGTAAAAAAAAGAAAATGAATTCTCACAGAATCTAACGAAACTTACACTGAATGTTCAAGATTACAAATAAATGTCATGTGCCGAACAATTTTGGAAGAAAATGTATACTGGCTGAGTAATGAGCATAGAAAGATAAGGAAATCAGGGTAGTACTAGCCCCGACACCATGTGTGTTGTCCCATATACATCTTTCTGTGTAAGTGATTGTTACTTTACCAAGACTCTGCTAAATTTATGATGATTTTAATGACTCCAGAACCTTGCATTACACACCATTACTTACATGTTATATGATCAACTTTTCTGATCCATTCCACACCTTTTCTTTCACAATGCAATCGCATTACCAGAACTCAAGTTTATCTTTAAGGAGAATATAGATCGATCTTTTCAATTTTGTTTTTGTGACTTTTATATTTGTACGTGCGATTTGCTCATATAAATTGCTCATACAGATTTGAAAACACTTCTACTTTGTATTTCATTTTCAGACTGACGCCAAGCATGCAATCTTCTAGAGTGACCAATTTATTTGATAAGATGGAAGACGAGATGACCTGCTTTAATACTGACCCCTCTGATCGGTCATTCGATGACCAAAGGCAATTCTCATATCGGATTCTAGAAAGCTTTTGGTTACATGTACATAGTGATGTTGTGTTTTGTTTTTTAAATAACTTTTTCACCGTTTGTTTGGTTTTATTTGAAATTTTATACTCATATCTCAAAAACACAATACTGATGTAAATAGAACAATATTTAAAAATTGCTAAAGTGATACATTATTTGAGTGTTGTATTAAATGGGTAAACAATAAGAAGAAAAAACAATAGATTATGCTGCAAAAATTCGTTTGTTATACAATTCAGGAACTTAGTGATATCTTTCTAAATGTTATTGTAATGTTATCATGAGACATTTATTATTGCTAGCAAGGTTGATTTCACAAGAAAATATTGGCAAGGCGGGGAAAATCCCTCTCGACCGTTATCCCTGTGACTTGACATATATCTTCTCTCGAATGACCAAAGGACCTGCTTTTTACTGAAGTTGATATGGCAAACAATAATTCTTTTTTTTTTTTAATACAAGGCAACGATACCTTTGAGTAAGTTCTTTTCAAGATATGGAGTTTTCATTGTGTCCTTGAACATTTTCTAATACTTGGTGAATATTGTAAGGAATAACATTGTATTCACACCCGACCATCTCAAACAAATAAACACACACACACACACACGCACACCTTTTCCCTACAAAATGTAATGGTTAATAGCCAATCCAAGCGCCATTTCTGCATTCTGTAGGAATTGCAATAGTCTGTCCAAATATGAAACTAGCATGTAAATTGGATTCGGTGTCCATTGTGTTACATGCGTGTTTGTATGATTTCTACATTATATTAGGGGACAGTCGGTGACAATTTTGAATCGAATTTACTTTTGAATTTGAACAAGGACGCTGTATTTTGACAGCGTGTTGCCTTTCATCTCCATTTTCAAACACATATATGGCGCTCGTCGTAATAACATTTCGCAACACAACTCATGCCTTCTTTTGACGGTGACATAATCAAGAAAGAAAGACAGGGTTATTGTCTTCTTTAGATATCAGTGTTTCCCTGGGGATTCCGATGAGGCCGATCCCTACTTCTGTATGGAATACAATCCCCTCTCTGGCTAACGACCTCTAGCACTCTGCTTCCTATCCTTTCTTATTTGCGGTTGTTTATTATCTGTTTTCAAAAAATTCTTCTTTGGTACATTCCGCACAATTGACATGGTTGTGCATTAAATACAATAAAGAAGTAATGCTACATGCGCTTCGACATAACACAATGTTGTTTGAATATACGGTTTTATTTCGTAAACAATATTACCCTAAACCCAACATAATAATTAACATTTTTCTTTGAGCTTTCCAGTTAGAATATACATTGCGTCCCAGGAAAAAAATAACCCAAAACAAACGGATGTTGTGAAAAAACAATGAGCTGTATGAATATGATCACAGATCCCTTACTTTTCATGAATTAGAAGTAATATGCTTGCAATGGAACATTGATGATATTAATCGATACATGGTTCACCGAACTACATCGTTTTGAAAATGACATGGCAAAATCCATTTATGCCGAATTCGGGTGACACAGTGAACAAAGTTAAAGACGTTAGAATCGCACATAAAAAACCCTAACATGATGGATTCTTAAATAGTTTTCATCTTTTTCTTGTAATAACGACGACAATATAATTGGAATCATCATAAAAATTGAAATAAAGGATAGTGGAGAAATATTTTCGATGGTTAGGGTAAAGCTGTAAATGTTGCACTTAAATGGGTCTGCAATTGCCATGAAGAGTGATTTAAGCATTTATGATAACTGCAAACTTTTTCAAGATCAAGGCAGACCGTCTGGAAATATCTCCAAAATAATCAAAATAAAGGGGCACCTTACATTGATGATGGGGGAAGGTATGGTCCAATGGGCACATAAGCCAGAAAAAAATCGTGATAATTTTAGGTCATTTTCATCTCATAATTGGCACCATTTTCAATCAGTACATGTGCACTTTTTCATCGACCGAGGGCTATTTATTTTGGGAAAATATGAGCTTATACGTCCCTGTAATCCTGGAAATGGGTTAATTTTCCCTGTTTTAGGTAGTTGATTTAATTTAAATGCACATCGTCACACAATGGAAATCTTGGATAATCATCTTTTAAAGTTTACATTTCCCCAACGCCGTGTCCGCCTGCAACACTAAGGTTTTTACTGTGTGACATAAATGGATTTTGACATTTTAAAAACAATGTTGCTCGCTGAAATTCGTATGGATAAAAGCAATCATAGTACTGATTGAAAGCATATTATTTCTACTTTATACAATTTATACAGCTAATACTTATCTCACAATGGCCGTTTATTTTCGGGATTAGCTTTTTCCCTGGAGCGCAAAATACTTGCGACGAAATAAATGGCCAGCAGTACATTGTATCTTGTCTCTCTATGAGTTCTGTTTACATTCTCAATATATCGGGCATAATTCTTCCTATGGCCCACTTTACCAATATTCTCCTTCAGTTTTTCATCAGTTTTTCATTTGATAACAACACGTGTACATCATCTTTCTGATCGAATTTGAAGAACCTCGTCACGTTGACATCGGTAAAAGGAAACATTGTCAAGAAAGCGAGCAATTGGATCCATTCGCCTCTGCTCTTTTATTCTCCTTGGCTCGAATTTGTTCTGAAGGATATAAAGATGACAAGAATATATAAAAAAAAACTTGAATAACACAAAATAGGCATAAGAATAGTAATAAAGGTAAATCGCGTAACACATAAAGTAGATGGCATTCTGGGGTCGAGGACGTTCATTCGTTGTTGTAATAGTTCCATTGCCGGATAGGATGATAGTGAGAAATCAAAGAAACCAATTTGACAGTTTGTCGGTACCATCAGATCTGATTTGTCATTCCATTTTGACCTGGGTACATTATTTGTCCAGGGTTTCTAAGAGCAGTGGTTAGCCCTCAACCAAGAGTCGGCACAATGTCTGCAGAGGTTGACATTTTACATGTTATACGGGTCTCTTCGTGGCCTTATTAACCGATATTGCGTATATAGCGTGGCACAGTTTATGAAACCCACTTTTGTGGAGGAGCCAACGAAGTGTCGTTATTGATTTGGTGGTGTGATACACATATATAAAAGCAATCGAGACTTCGAAGTATCCATTACCTCACAAGCAGGGCAGCATATTTATTTGATTTAAAGTATTATATCATAAAATATATAGGCCTATATTGCGTAAATGGTGCACAAACTTAATAAATGCAGAAGAAGCTTTAGCATTGGGGTATCCCATAACGTGGTCAATCGACCCAGCTAAAGCTGTGATTAATTTGTTTCTTTACCGTTAACAGCGATCCTCGGACTGACATTTCTAGAGCGATGGTCTCAATTTATTTATTTTCAACGTGACATAGCATACAGTGTCTTCGTAATTTATACACATTTGATAAGTACGTATCAACAAAAATGTTTCGCCTTATCCAACTTATGTGTGTACATTCGGGCGAACTTACAATTCGGTATTCATGGTTAAAAAAGGTACATGTATGTGCTTTTCACTTATACCTTACTTGCGTCATTCCCATCTCGGATGACTGAGATTCTTCATTTAAATCCTGCAAAATATCTATCTTGCTAAGTTTTTGTTTATGTATACATGCATGTATGGCTATACTGGATGTACTGGCATGTGATGTTAAGAATTCATTGTAGAAATATAAGAACGCCTGGAAACGTGCCGTTTCTCCGGTGTGTTTTCTTCGAGGAACAGCGTTATCTATCGGTGCTTGGGTACTTGAAATATATCTTAAGTCTTGTAAGCTTTATATTGCTAATTGTTTGAATCAGTAATAAATAGACTTTCATTACAGGAAAGTTGTCAACTTTTATCTACTTTTCTTTCAAGTTTTTCATGTTTAAACTGTTGTTTGTAAACTTATCTCTTATCATCTTCATAATTTCACAGTTTCCTTTGACGCAGTGAGCATTAATCAACTGATATATGGACAATAATTTTGGCTTTCCTAGCTGCCATCATCATAACCATAATATAATGCAAATAAGGGATCCGGTAACTTTGTCTTAGATCCTTTAAAAAATGATTTAGCTCATGCTGCAATGATAATTATAAACCTTTAGGTCAGTCGGGAACCCCTTGACTTTTACAAGCCGATCGCCTGTCTGATTATAAAGATATTTATGATTGAAAATCGAAATTAAATTTTGCGTTTGCTAAACGGTTTTCATAACACTATAGTCTATTGGGGATAACGAGTATTGTAAAACCAGTCACTCAAAGGTTTTTACTTTTTGAGGCACTCCTTGATCATTTTGAAGCACAATTTGTGTAGGGCTTCAATATAACACCATATAACAGACACCGACAACACGTAAGACCGTGCATCTCAGAGTTAACATTGTTAAACGATCCCTTTAAGTTGACTTCATTGCAAATCTTGGCAAAAGGACCACAAGATAAAACTAAGAGCCGATTATGAATACAACCTTTAAACAAAATAGGCCGTCTAAGTTGGTCACATTTATCAGAATGCATTATACAGCAAGAGTTGTGAAAAAATATTATTATTCATGATTTTCGATGAGCGTGGGATAACCACTGAAGAAAATAATGTAGTTAAAGGAACCTGGGATTATCGCCAAATCATCACTTCTCACATAACGACAGCTAATAGAAGGGCAGAATTAAAGTAAAGAAATACATCTATTTTGAAATGGTTTTTAAAGAATACGTGATGAAAATCACAAAGAGATCCGTACAAAATTGCTTTCCATATTTCCAGACTTCTCCTTTCCATATTCACTTCATGCCGCCCACGAGGACTGATCCTCAGCTTGCAAGTCGTAATAGCTCTTGCCCTCACACCACTTTGTGCTTTTTGTTCGTTATTCTTATAAAATATTAAATGTAAAGTTTCATCTTAAAGTCGCCAAGCAAGTCATGTTTTCTCGGTGGTATCGCAAAAGGGGCTCGACTTACCAGCTAACTTGTTGCAGTCAATGTTAGTAAGACCTTCGTAGAGTTCCTTGATTGGGTTATCCTCAAGCCCATGCAGCCAAATCAACATCATACGATAACCATGTTCCTTCCAAGCGTGTTTGCCTGCAAACAATAACAATAATTTGATTTATTTTTTCCTCTCTCATGCGGGCAATTTTTCCCATTTCTTCGGTCTCGCCAGGTTCTTTGATAAGGCAACTTGATATTTTCGCTCTACGAATTCCCAAATGTAATAGGATTGGATGGAAATATAAACATGTCACCTCTGGTTTATACAATTTTTGAAAGGGTATATATATTTCATACCGCAGACATAAACAACAAACACGCGTGCTCCCCCACCCACACACACAAAATCACGCCCACTTACGAAAGAATGTGGTTTTAGTTTTGGTCTTAATTGTCATGCCAGTCCCCCCAAAAAACGAAACTTCAAAAGCAAATGCTATCATTGTCGGTAGATCAGTGAAATGTACAAAACAATGTTTATTAGATGGTGCAAAGCCAATAGTTGTTAAAGCCCTACTGTCCTACTTGTAGCTACTTGCTCCCTCTATATAGAAAACTTCCCCAATCGGTGCCTGTTGGTCCCCCATGATCCTCTTTTTCTTATGTTAGTTGAGAGCTTAGTAATAATGAGATAGCCACCTGTTAGTGACCTCGCTGTGTGGTCTAATCCTATCTGGCCCAGTAGAATTGACGGTCTTTAAACTAAATTTAACATAGATTAACCACTTGACCAGAATCTCTAAGTCTTAATATACTTTGTTTCTAACAGGGTTAGTCTCGGGGTTCGTTAATGAGATTGCAAATCTAGGGTAGTGTTCCACATTGGACAATATTGACCGCAAGATCCATTTAGTCAAACCTACATCTAATGCTATGGACAGCGGATTGAGACGACTAGTCGCTGTCTATATCTCGGCGTGCAAAGAACTGCGGCCTGAGAACTCACATCCACAGAGAACTGTGATTCAAACCGACTCTGATACTGATCAGATTGATCAGGTCATGTTTAAAAAGAAATCGTGTAGACAGTCATGTTCTGAGTCAAGTCAGTAAAATATCAACGAGTAAATTATGTCTTTTAAACAGCATACACATTAAACAATAGGTTTACGGTTGAAACGTGTGAGAGAGAGAGAGGGGGTGGGGGAGGATTGGGGAGTCCTGAAAAGGACTGTTGGTAATCAGCATTTAGCCGACACATATATCGGTATTCTCACCTGTTTCCTGTGTTTCAATGGCCTCAATATGTTCAGGTTTGAACCCCCAGTAGTAGAAGAGTCTCTTGCAATCATCCTTAGCAAGTTGTTTCTGGACAAGCTTGTAGCAGATAGGACGCATAATTTCCTGTAACTCGGGGTCCTCTTTACGGAACTGCAGAACGTTCAGATCAGGGATGGCTCCTGGTCTCTTCTTGTGCTAGATGTGGTGACATTAGTTTTTAAGAGAGACGTGGAAACAAACTTTAAATATTTGTATTGATGGAGTTAATATAAGAAGTAATACGTGTCGTGTAGTACAAAAAGATTAGTAGGAGAAGAAGTAGCAGTAGTAGTAGTAGTAGTAAAAGTAGTAGTAGAAGTAGAAGTAGAGGAAGTAGCAGAAGTAGTAGAAGAAGTAGAAGTAGAAGTAGAAGTAGAAGTAGTAGTAGTAGTAGTAGTAGTAGTAGGAGTAGTAGGAGTAGTTGAAGTAGTAGAAGAAGTAGAAGTAGAAGTAGTAGTAGTAGTAGCAGAAGTAGTAGTAGAAGTAGTAGAAGTAGTAGTAGTAGTAGTATTAGAAGCAGAAGTAGTAGAAGAAGTAGAAGTAGAAGTAGAAGCAGAAGTAGTAGTAGTAGTAGGAGTAGCAGGAGTAGTAGTAGTAGTAGAAGTGGAAGTAGTAAAAGTAGTAGTAGTAGTAGAAGTAGAAGTAGAAGTAGTAGTAGTATAAGTAGTAGAAGAAGTAGAAATAGAAATAGAAGTAGAAGTAGAAGTAGTAGTAGTATAAGTAGTAGAAGAAGTAGAAGTAGAAGTAGTAGTAGTAGTAGTAGTAGTAGTAGTAGTAGAAGTAGTAGTAGTAGTAGTAGTAGTAGTAGTAGAAGTAGAAGTAGTAGTATAAGTAGAAGTAGAAGAAGTAGTAGAAGTAGTAGAAGAAGTAAGAGTAGAAGTAGAAGTAGTAGTAGTAGTAGTAGTATAAGTAGTAGAAGAAGTAGAAGTAGAAGTAGAAGTAGTAGTAGTAGTAGTAGTAGTAGTAGCAGCAGCAGCAGCAGGAGTAGCAGTAGTAGTAGTAGTAGCAGTAGTAGTAGTAGTAGTAGTAGTAGTAGTAGTAGTAGCAGCAGCAGCAGCAGTAGTAGAATTGATAGTCTTATATTTGTATCCTAAGCACACCAAAAAAATCCAAGTTTGTATTCTACATTCTTGGCTTTATCATTTCCACTACCTTTCCTCTTTCTGATATTCGTCTTTCTCACTTAAAGGGATCCGGTAACTTTGTCTCAGATTCTGAAATAAAATTCTGGATTTAGCTCATGATGCAATGATAATTATAAACCTTTGGGTCAGTCAGGAACCCTATGGCTTTTACAAGCCGATCGCCTGTCTGATTATCAAGATATTTATGATTGGAATTACAAATTTTTAAAACCGTTATTCTGACGGTTTTCATAACACTACAGTCTATTGGGGAAAACGAGTATGGTAAAACCGGTCACTCAAAGATGTATACTTTTTTTGAGGCACTTCTTGATCATTTTGAAGCGCATTTTTTTTAGGGCTTCAATATTACACCATATCACAGACACTGATAACACGTAGGGCCGTGTATCTCAGATTTAACATTGTTAAACGATCCCTTTAAGTGCTCTGTTCATCTGATTTTCTTTCGTTTCAAGAAATGAATAAACCAGCCATCACGACGATCTGCAAGTCGTTTCCATTTCTCTTAATTCCTTTTTTTTTCTTCTTCAGATTGCCTAAATCTGCTGTGATATTTCCTCACCTTTATGAAGTATCTGTCTGCTTTGATGATCATATCTACGATGGTGATATTATCTGCCCTGGCCGCCATTGATAAAGCTGTCTTTCCATTCTATCAACCATACCAGGGATAATAGGAAGAAAGGATACACTGATTTGAATTTTTAAAAATAGTTTCTACTGCCCAGAAATTGATAATTAAATGACAGCCCATAACAAAATTGTTTATTTTGCATGCGATTTCAACTATTTTTATCATCATCAGGAATAACTGTAATGCCTACTTTCTTTAAATTCAAACTATGCCAAGGAATAGCTAAATATGTATGCTACTGAGTATATCAAGAGAAAAACTCTCAATTTACTAAATCCTCCCTCTCTCTCTCTCTCTCTCTGTCTTTCTCTCGCTTTATCTTTCTTTATGAAAAATCCTAGAATACTCGAATACTAGAATAATTACATGATGTAATTCTGAATATGATTCCAATGTAATAATGTTCATCTCTGATAACATATTGCTCCACGAAGTAGTATGTATTATGAGTTAAGACAGAACAGATATTTACGTCTGTAACGAAAGGATCTATCTTGTTGTATAAACAGTTCAATAAAACATAGATGTTCATTGTGTTTTCCAAAAAATATTCATATATGCAAATATCTTAAATTTAACAAAGTAAAAAGGCAACATGAGACTATAGGCCCGTTCTCACATAAAAATTAGTGCTATTTGGATCGCGATGCAAAAATCGACCGTACAAAGACCGTACACACACAGGCATAATTGTTGATCGACGGCAAGCATGCGTAAATCCCGACGATGTATGCGCGCTTGGAATCCTGGGATTAAATAAATCGATATTCGATTCTCGATACCATTCACCTGACACACAGCGCCCGGCAAACTATCGCGATTATTCTGAAAAATCGCAAGACTTAGTGCAAATTGGCTCGCGCTGCGAATCGCGAAGATTAGTGAAATTATTTTGTCCACACATACATTTGTTAATCTCACTTTTTCTGTAGGTGCGAATGCCCTTAATGACGAATCGAGGTTAACTTGATTTAAGATTATTTTGTTGATGTTCTCCTCATTTCCCATTTTACCCTACATCCTTATTTCTCTCTACCGTCTGGAATTTTGAGCTGTATTTGATATTTGTTTGCTTTTATATATTCTAGATCGTCTACATCTGTTCTGTCCATCCGACTGTACCTGATCTAGACACGTTAATACCGCTGAAGCGTTAGGAAATGTTATTCAAAAAGTAACCATAGCAGAACGACTTGACAAGCACATCAATTCCCCTGAAGTCATTCGAAATCGAATCTAAACATTATTTTCAAAGTTCAGATAACTTCCAATTAAGAGAAATGGGTCAACCGAATCTTGATGTTTTACTAAATGTAAATGCAGAGAATAAATTAATCATAAGCGCATTAAAAGTACTTTGTCCCATTTGCAGGCCAAAGAAATAAAAAAGGTAAAGTTCCTTCAAAATAAAAGGGATTGAAAATGTCTTTTTGTGGGAATATAAATTCAAATTTATTCATGTTTCCAACATAACATTACAACTTAATTATAAGCATTTAAAACAAATTTAAGAAATACATGTTAGTTGTCGAATCGACTTTAGGGATTGCAGTCCTTTTAGTAAGTAGTCTGGTTTTCAGATCCTTGAACCCAATGGTCGTATTTTTTTGGCTGCGCAAGATTCGATCAGTTTAATTTCGGCTATTACAAGAAGTGGGTAATTGATGAAGACAAATGCCAATGTACCCTAGTACAGCTCATTTTATGTATGTTATTACCAAAGAAGAAGAAAAAGCCAGTCAGTCACTCAATAGTGTCCGACAGTGAAGTCTAAAAAGTAAACGGGTTTCCTTGCATAATTCAAATACTAGGACACTGCTAACGTTTAAGTTTCATAGTTCCTGAAAAGTTCTACAGAAGTCAATGTTGGCTTCAAAAGGAATACAATACCTTTAAAGCCAGGAATAACACCTTCAGACTGGTACTTGATAAGTATTTCGTGGTACATGGTTGATATTGACATTTGCTTTGTTTGAGCATTTACTACTAAAGTTATCTAATTTGTAAGAGTTTGGAAAAGTATACTGAAAATCTCCAATCAAACCTAGTATAGTTACATGTCCCAAACAGAGTAATCTCTCTCTCTCTGTTTTTTTTTCTGAGTGCCATTCTTAAACTCACTTGGGGTTTTTGAAAAATATTAATAAAATAAGTAATTTTTCAAATGAGTATTTCACCCGGTAATCTTCGTGTGTAATACTAAAAACGATAATTCGCCATGGTGTGATATATGAAATACTACATTGTACACCAATATAGTATCAATCACTTTTTATTTAATTGCTGTATGTAAATCAATTCGCATATTTTAAAGAAGCGATCATGTACTTTATGAGGAGAGAACATTTTCTCCCTTGTTTTATAACTCAGCTTGGAAAACGTAAGGATGACTTTAAGCTATTGAAAATGTATGTCAATTGAGGTCCTTAAATAGACAATGCGTGGGTGACGTTTTCTCTCCTCCACCCCTTCAGTTTTCTGAGGTTTTTAAAAATATATTTCATATATATATATATATATATATATATATGAAACTTGTTCTTTATATTTGAACAATACTCTCTCAGTATGACGTCTCGCAAGATAAATAGAAACTGTAATTGTTTTTCGGTATAAACGACACCTTATGGGGGCAGTCCTTACGGTGCCTTACGAGACTCATTTTAATACACAATTGTATGTCAATTTTCGTTATATATACACACGCCCACGTACGCACTCACGCACGCACACACTCACACCCACACACACGTCCATGACGCCCGCACTTATTTGCAATCAACCATGCAATCAACCTGTCTCTGTGGCTTGGTGTGTTTATCAAGAAAACCAAGTTCAGTTTCTGACGCGGGCGTTTTTAAATCGTTGCAGTTTTCCCAGAAGGTTTTTTTTAATTTAGGCATTATTCACTCTTTTCCTGTTACATTTGTTTCTCGCTGCCAATGCTGCTTGTATTGATTATTTCATGACAAATATATATCTGTCTATATATAGAATAATTGTTTAAAATTAAAAAACTATTGCTTCATGATTAACCACCCAATTCAAAATATCAATGATAAACGGATTACACATATATTTTTATATTCCTAAAGTAATCTTGTATTTGTGAGCAAACTCGTCTTGGTATTGATTTTTGGACATGTATGCATGAATACGGAAATATGAGATTGTGCGAAAACCACAGGCAGGCAATATGTTTTGCCTCTCTTTTCCCCAAATCAGTATGTCACAAATAAAACATTTGTTCTTTATGATATAATCTAATATCTCTCTATACGTAATTTTGACAATACAAGTTTGATAAATAAACTGAAATTTCCAGGAATGCCACTTTTTGATGTTTTTTTCTTCAATCGCTCAAATGCCGTATATCTTCCGTATCAAAGCAGTGTATGAATATTCGTTTACACGTTTTAGCACACATGCCCCCCCCCCCCCCAAAAAAAAAATAATAATAATAATAGGAGAAATCTAATTTGTTAAGAGATTAATTAGGGACAAGTGTGACACCGTTATTCTATCTTTAAAAGTTATCTTTAATGAAAGTCAAAATATGGCCCCATCTATCCCATTCATTCAACTTCATGCGCCCTTGAAATAATCACATTACTGAATCCAATCTCACATCAGACAGAAATCGACTATAAACTATATTTACTCATTACGATTAAAATGGGGCAGCAATGCTCATGGGTGAAGTGTCTGGATCATCTAAAATCCTGAGAGTTTAACAAAATGACAGGTACACGAACTTCACTTTCTGTCGTATTATAAATCGAAAATGTTGAGACATCGTATGAGGCACAAATAACGTTTTTGCTGATTTTCTTTGAGCATGTAGACATCACCAGAGGCTTGAGTACATGTTATACGTGTAAAGGATATTCGAAAAGTGCATCCCACGTTTACACATCCATTTTTGAAGACAAAAGTAATATGACACTTTTTACGACATGACCATAAACTCCCCTTCATTACATGAGCGTTAAATTTGCATTTCTAGTAAAAGTGCCAAACATATTTTACTGATTCAACCGATCAATTTCCAAGGCTTTTATTTATTTACTTGGTTTTTATGTTTTTATTTTGGGTGTCGTGTTTTGGGGGTGGTGTTTTATTCTTCTTGAATTTGCCTGGATAAAGTGTTTAAGCTCATAGCTACAGTCATGCGGGCATCTATCTACCTTTTTTTCCTCCCCCTCCACTAATTTGATCTGATTTGATTTGATTTGATAAGGTTTTATTCGAATATTCAACAATACAGCTGGAGGCTGATGCAAGTGAATTTACAAGGTAAAAATAATTCCATAGACATATAAATATAATTATATGTTTTCACACTTTTAAATGAATTCACCTCTCTCTCTCCCTCTCTCTCTCTCTCTCTCTCTCTCTCTCTCTTTCTCTCTTCTCTCTCGTACTCTGTCTCCCCTCAAAATTCCCTTCGATTTTTCATATCAGTAGTCAGTTGTCAGATGAGATTATTCCACTAAATATCATCTACCGGAATGAGATGACTACATTTTGGGGTCCCAATTTCAGATTCCGGTGCCTTTTCACATTACATTTTTGGGAGGCGTAATCGATTGAATTTGTCATATAGCTCCAGCACTATTATTTATGTATCGATATGAACTATACTTTGACACGCTTACTAAGCTTGATTGGGATATACATTTCTCTTCGCGGCTATTGATTTTTCAATTTTAGGAAACCCTGTCCCTCGACTTGTTTTTGAATTTCTATTATACCCTAGATTTATCGAATTTTTCCATGCGACATCCTAACATTCCGAAAAAAAGAGGTAGACAAAGTATAATCAATTTAAAAATACTTTACCTCATCAAATGAAACAACGATTTATCACAAAGTTACACAAAATAAAACTAATCATTCCCATTTAAATTGATGATACACTGTGAAAACAATACTTATCAGCCTATGTATCTAAGTTTTGAAGAAAAAAATGTTGTTATATTTTATTCCACTTAATATTAGTCGTCTTAAAGATACTTTGTCCCTTTTGCAGCCAACAACAAATTCTGTAGAACTTTGCAGGAATTATGAATATGTTATGTATGTCCTATCTGTGAAATTTAAACATTAGCAGTGTCCTAATATTCAAACTATGCAAGGAAACCCGTTAACTTGCTATACTTCACTGTCAGACACTATTAAGTGACTGACTGGCTTGTCTTCTTTTTCTGTAATAACATACATAAAATGAGCTGTAAAGGGTACATGAGCATTTTTTTACGTCAATAACCCACTTCTTGTAATGGGCAAAATTAAACTGATTTAATCTTTGCGCAGCATAAAACGTACGACCATTCGGTTCAATGTTCTGAAAATCAGACTATTACTTACTGGCTCTATAGCTCTGAAGTCGATTCGACAACTCATAGTCGTTATTTTCCCACTTAAAGACATTTTCAAGCCCCCCCCCCCCTTTTTTTAAATTTTTTTTTAGGGAAGATCTAAATTAATGTTATCTTTCAAATGCCGTTGGAATTTAACCTTTTAAACCAGAGGACTGTGGATCAAAATAGTTGGCGGTTTGAATCCTCTCTCGGAACTTACCGGTTAGGTCTGGTAGGAAAAATCCTTGAATGATTGTGCACCGTATCACAGAAGCTTTGCTAATGAAACGGAAATGATTTGTACTTACCGGAGATGGATTGTGTATAGTTACCGCGCTGTGTAAATGCATTCATATTTACTTTTAAATACATCATCTTAAAAGAAAACATAGATTTTGTTTTGTTCAGTTCTTAGGAAAACAGCAAATGTTCCTAACACATCATCTTGAATAAAATGAAATATATACCTACATTCGGACTGGAATCAATGTTCATTAAGCTGTAATCTGCTTCGAAAACATCCGAGACGGTATCCTATTTCCATCAGGGAAATTCCATGAAGTATACTTCCTCCCTCAGTGATATAATGTGATGTACGCATCGTATGAGTCTGTGTATTTTACGTTTTTTTTAAATGTTACTTCTTTCCATCAGGGAAATCCCATTGAATATACCTCCTCCCTCAGAGATTAAATGGTGTACGTATTGTAAGAATCTGTGTAGTTTTTATTTTTCTCTTTAAACTATGTGATTCTGTAAGCGCATTGGTACTTTTTGTTTAAACACTCCTAAATAATCAATAATATTGATTTTATTCACCTGTGCTTCTTCTATAAATATAAGCCATGAACGACATATATACATTTATATGCATTCAAATAATGTCATTAATTATGGCTTGTACTTCTGTCAGGTGAAGATATCGTAATGTTTATAGAAACGCCACCTTTCTTACCTTCTCTTGTATTTGCACATTAATTCCAGCCACGAGTAGAAGTTCCACGATATCTGCAAGTCCGTTTTCAGTCGCCTCGTGAAGAGCCGATCTTCTCTTCTGCGGAAAGAAAAAAAAATCAGTACTTTTGTTATTGTTGAAATTTGTGATATAATCTATCCCCTTTCATCTGTTACCAGCAAACTGTTCTGGCTCCCCCCCCCCAAAAAAAAGGGAACAAAGGCATTAAAACAACTAAATATCATACTAAAATGATATCAGATAAGACAAAGGTTTCATGGTCAGTAATGCATTATTATACATGCTTATTCTATTAAATTAATTGTTTCCACGTATCTTTAATATGATTTCACCATGTATGTAATTATGCTCATGTTAAAATATCAATATAAGTTTTCTAATAAATACAAAATACAAAATACAAAATACATGAAAGTTGCTTTGAGTAGTTGAGTGATAGATTACTAATGGTGCATGGAGTGTAAGATTGGAAGTAAGATGGTGGAATGAAGGGGGAACGTCAGGTGTTGTTGGTGATGGGTGCGGTTGTTGCATTGATTGTTGTTATGGTGGTAATTAAAGTGGTGTCAATGGCGATATTGTTGGCGGTTGAAGTTTAATGTTGTTGATGGTGATTATGGTAGGATGGTGTTGTTGTTGGTATTTGAAGTGCTAGTAGTGGTGGTGGGTGTGGTGGAGATAGTATGTTCTTTCTGAAGGAATTATGCATAGATTTGAAAGAAGAGCGGACGTCTCGTTGAAAATGCGATAAAAGACCTTGAATTAGCCACAATTCTTTCTATGGGGTTTTCAAATGTTTTATCGGAGGATTTTTCAAAAAGGGTCCCTCTCGAGACGATCTTCCCGATTTCAGGCTTTCAGATACTCAAGGAAAGATTTAAAGCCGAGCCGAGCCGCGTCGCACCACGACCTGATTGTTTAAGTAAAAGCCCACTCCAACTTGATTTTTGGAGTGCAATCGCGAAAATAGAAATAAAGGAGATGAAGATCGCAACAAGAGGTTCAAGAAAAGAATAGAGGCTGTACAGGCGAATAAATGTTTTACGCAAGGCCTAACAAAAAAGATGTTGTATTGCCCTTTGCGACCGACCTAAAAATTTTGAAATCGACGATCGGCTTGAAATGTATTCAAAACTGAAAAATATCAGCCCAAAGAGGGAGTTTAAAAATTAAAAAAAGTTTTTAAAAAAGAAAGATTTCCGACCGACCGACCCATGTTTTGGCACCTAAAGGGCAATACAATATCTTTTTTTAGGCCTAATAGATGGAGACATATTTCTCACAAAATCAGAGTAACCAAGCACTGCCAATAGTTATGAAAGACCGGCCCCGAGACAGGATTTGTGGTCAACAAGATGACGGATTGTCATTCCTCAGACACCTTTCTATGATCTCCGTATCACCTTACACGATTCATCAGTGTCATTAATAGGCTATTGTAAGAGCAATATCTAGTCTGATTGATTTCTTGATAGCCTACGGATAGCCCTCGGAGAAACTTAAAAGAAACTGTACATAACGAAATCCATCCAATGGGTCGCTTTAAAAGAAATCTAGAGACCTGTATAATATAGCCATATCACGGATATCATGCAACATCTATGATAGCCAGTGTACTTTTATGGAAAAAGATATGACTCGTGCATATTGCCAATCTATATAATCGTGTGACCCCCCCCCCCCCTTTTGCGATCTAAAAAGCAGGTTGTTTGTTTTCGGGGTTAAAGTTAATCGCGTACCAATCAAGGATTGATTTCCTAAGCGAGGCGAAATGAATATTTTGTTTACTTGGATATAGCCTGCCTGTAGAATGACAAAGAGTATGGACAAAAATTATGACAAATGTCAAACTTTCTTCATTATTCGAAATTTTTGCAGAAAATGAAAAATAAACTTTCTTTGATTGTTGATTACTCTAGAGAGGAAATAAATCAGTTCTTTTATAATTGTATATATATATATATATATATATATATATACATATGCTGAGCACCTAAACATTACGAAGTAAACAGTACGGTGGGCTGTACTGCAAGTAAAGAAGAAGAAATCTCTCATGCCTCGTTCAAATATATGTACATTGGTTGGATGAAGTCATCATATTTTTACTGTAATACTAATGGCGATAGTGAAGGAGTTCTTGAATCCTTAAAGAAAAAACAACTTCTTGTTTATCTTTTTAAAGCTTTTGTCGCGCTCTTATTGGGCATTTCTAATATTCACGTATGATAGACCTATGTAGGCTTATCTAAGACTATAGGCACGTCCGAATAAATAATCGATATGATCGACATTTTAAACTCTAAGTATGTCAGGAAATCACCGCTTATTGCATGATCATATTGCATAAAATATGAAATTTGGACTTCTGTAACAAAACATTACATTTAAGGAGTTAAACGAATGTAATATATAGTAGGGGGTCATACATTTGCCCAACACTTTTGATTGGGCACGATGTTAGGCCAAATTGTGTGTCCAACCAGCTTAGTGCATTCCTGGTACTTTAATTTGGATAATCTTTTGTCCAGTTAGAGTGAAAATACAGGGCAATTACTTCAATTAACAAATATTACCAAAGTTGAGCAGAAAAACAAAATGGATTGTGATGTAGTCATTGGACAACTCTCCCGTTCTGTCGTGTACAAAAATAACATTAATTTCATTTTTTGCTCAAGTGCCTTCTACCTTGGGCACTACTCAAATATATTATGGATGGAATGTCCCAAACTGGTTGGACACATAATCATTCTAGTGTATTTTTAAGAGTGTATATTTTCAATAAAACGACATGATGTATATGCCTCTTTCATCAACTAATTTTAGGTATTACAAGTCAATATTCGGTTTAAATTCTATTTAGAAATACGGAGGGTCAGACAGGTGTCATGTGTCAAATTTTAGCCCCAGGCGTGGTACATTGCTTACGATAATGATGTCAACAAGGCAATTGGTCATATATTTATAGCATCGTTACCATTTTTATTTCAGTTTACATGACTTGTAAAAGAGGTTGAGATACAAAAAGAAAAGTTTGGATCTGGCAATGGCAGGAAAAGTCGAAGAAAATGGGAGAAGAGAAATAAGAATTGTAGGGAAGTCTGTGGAGATGGCTGGAGAACAAAGGAAAGAAAGACCTGGGTAAGAGGGAAGTTCATGGCAAAGGCTTGAAAGTAGAAACAGAGAGTTGTGGAATGGCATGGTCACCAAAGCAATAGATGCGGTACGTAGAGATGGAGAGAACGGCATGTATATCGGTAATGACTGATGTCCTAGGGGGTAGTTATCCGGGGGTGATTGTCCAGGGGGTAATTGTCCTGTGTGAGGTAGACTGCTCATCAAATTTTACGACCAAAATTATATGATTATCAAATTATTTTTTAAAAATGACCTCTTTGAAACCTGCGATGTGTAGATATGCAAAAGTAGAAGACTGAATTATTATATATTCCACATAATTCTAAAATACTGATGACTATTACAATGGGAATATCAAATTATGACACAATATGTAATGGATACTATCAATTAATATTCTGTATTTATCAATATTCGGAACACAAACCATTCATACATGTAGGTGTTTGTTGTTATTATTATTATCATTCATTACTAAACCTACAATGACTAAGTTTGTCAAGCGATGAACGCTAGTCACGGACATACGTGTACAGCATGGCAGACCCAGAGACGGAAATGGTCGTCCCTCCCTACTGCAAAAAAGAATGGTGGTAAAACTAATATTCCTATTCTTAAAAGGGCTGTCAGAGACTTGACGTTTCTGAAAGTTGTCAAAGATTTCGGCGACACGAATGTTGGAAACTCTTTCGACCCTTAGGTCATCTTCGGTCGTAAGACATGGACTCACTGTGTAAGAAATTAAAGGTTTCATGAAAGACGTTGGAAAGTCAGGCATAATGTTCAGGTGCGTTGTTCATGTTGCAATAACATGAATAATCGATGTGGTTCAAATAGCAAGTATAACTGACTCACTCATAAACGGAATCGACACACAAGAGGCAATTTGAACACGGGAAATGTAATTATCTACCTCTGCCATCGATAACTTCCTCAAGGTTCAAGGTTCATTTTATTTCTTTCTTTCACAACATTTTTACATATAATAATAGAACAAAAAACAGCATAAGAAAAAACAATTTAAGTGCAATTTTAAGTCGATATATAATCCAAATGAAAGAAAGTGGAGACCTTAGAAAAGCTGGGCTTGTAAGAGCAAGGTCCCCATATAATAACATAATCCATCAATGTTTCACTTTTAAAAACATGTTAGCACGCAAGCGTATCACATCTAATCCATTATGACGTCACATTAAATGTGGAATGATGGGTAATTGGTAGGGCATTCAGTCGTGTTGTTAACCCTTCAATAATGTGCTAATGGCGTCTTACTTAATGGACCTTGGAGGCCATGGGGTTATTATGGGAAGAAGCGATTCATCAGTCTTGAAAGGAAACTGTATTCTGCCTCTTTAGGGTGTCCATCTTGTCTATTTTCTTAAACCCTAAGTGTAAAGTTTGCCTTGATTCCCACGATATTGATTGTTTGATTTACCCCGTGTTTGCCTCGTTATCGTTTTCTCTCCGCATGATGAAACACCCGTCAAGAAATAGCGGGAAAAAAATATATTCATGGCTAGAGTGCCCAAGTCTGTGATTAAGCGTTACTTCTAATAAAAAATAGATTACGTAATGAACACAAAATACGTATTCAACAACAACCACAAAAAAGTAAATATCTATTGAATCAAGTTTGATCTTAAACGCGGGTTTCCATTCGGACCACTTGTGGAGTTGCGTAGTGTTGCGTACCAACTACGCCGAGCGTACACTGCCCTACACGCAATCAATGAACATGTTTAATTTTTCGCGTACTTTCGGCGTAGACACTAGACGCGAAAAGTACGATTTTTTTACGCAAGTCTACGCAACACTATAAGTATGCTACTATACGCCATGCATACGCAATAGTACGCTACCCTACGCCGGTCCGTTGTGGCGTGCGCCTGTAATCAAGCCAACAATGGAAGTTACAAGGACGCAGGTTCGAAACTGAGTCACGCCTTTCGGATGGTGACGTTTAAAGGTCGGTCCCCAGACGTAAATATCATATCTGATTGATACACGTTTGTAAAAACCCAATACACACACACACACACACACACACACACACACACAGTGGCGTGAATGCCCTGCCTTAGTTAAGTACAACTTAAAGTCAGTATTAGTCTTTGTGAAACACTCCCCTGGTCGTGAAAAACGATCAAGTGCAGATTTACAGCTTTAGAATATAAATATCCAATTTTATTCAACTTACCTCATTGAGTACGTTGACTTTACACCGACAAGATAGAAGCGTCTTTACACTCTCGATGTGACCCAACGTGGAGGCAACGTGTAAAGGGGTGTTGTCGTACTAGAAATATAAAATGTCAAATAGAGGAAACACCTTTTTTATCATGGGAGACGAAAGAGTTCAAATTTTGTCATATCTACATCTACATAAAAAATTACCGGAAGGTTATTTTGAATTGGAAGTGTCGTTGTGAGTTATTATTGTTATCATTATTATTATAATTAATATTATCAATATTATTTTGATGATGATGATGATGATGATTGTTATTTTTATCTTCCACTCTATAATTACCACTATTATCATTAGTATAATAATGATAATAATAATGATAATAATAATAATAACAAAGATAATACTATTATTACTTTTACTGAGTATAGTTATGCTAATTAGCATTATTAATATTAGCGTAGATATTCTCAGTAAAAGTAATGGTAGTATTATCATTGTTATCATCATTATCTTTATTATTATTAATATTATTACCTTCATTATTATAATTATCAGAATTATAACTATCATTACTCTTGTTATAATCATTACTATTATCACTATTATAATTATCATAATCATTATTATTATTTTCATCATCATTTTCTTATCAGTGGCGTAGAGAGGACTTTATCATTGGGGCCACCGTTCCCGAATACAGTATTAAATTTCCTATATTGGAAACACTTACCATTGCCTTACTGTTGAGATTACACCTATTTGAGGCTAGGACCTTGATGACAGAGGGATGATCATTTTTCGCTGCAAAATGGGCTGCCGACATGCTTTTCTGTGGAAGAAAATGTTATTAAAATCTTTAAGCCTTTGACTAAAAGTGAAATACTGTCCGCAAATTATGCTCCTGTTTGTATAATTGGATTCATCTTCATAGCGTTGCAAAATGAATACTGATTACATAGTTACATTATCAGACAATTACTGATTACACAACTGGATATATAAGTACTTAAAATTAATACTGATTGCATAATTACATAAACACTAATATTTCTTATTTACGAACACAAGCATAAGGACACAACATCGTCAAGGGGTAACGTCTTTTTCTCAAATTACTACTGTCCCGTTTCTCAATTTTGCGAGAAAGCAAAGCAAGCGAGCAAATGTATTGACATTTTTCATAGAGACAATGCCAATGCGCCATTAAGATGCACCATAGATACGATGAACCAACCCGCTAACCGAAAAATTGTTAAGCGACTGTTAGTAATTTAAAAAAATTAGAGGACTTCATACATGCACCTCCCCCCAGCCTCCGGATCGGCCACATACCCCTATGACGAAAAATGAGCTGCCATTATAGCCATAGATACTTCACAATTTTGTTAGCTTCTGTTCTTTATTACCATTTTGGGGTTAATAAACTGTTCAGTTACACGACGTACTACTCACACGTACTTCTAGAATGATGCAATTAATCTCACTTAACGAAATGAGAACTCCGTGCTTTGCTTGAAATTTTCCAACTTTACATCAACCAGCGAGTCTTCCGTCACAGACTTTGATTACTAAACATGTATACAGCGTCCCGAGACAACCCCAAAGCAGCTTCACAATGGTGTAAATATTTAGAATTGAATGGGAAGCGCGGTAATAACTGAATAGACCCTGTTTACTAATGTAGTTAAACATTTATGCAAGTTTCTCTCCTGAATCCTTGGTTACCAACTAATTTATTCACCTCCTACGCATTATAGCATCTCTTTGGATGGAAATCACTTTGCATTGGAATCTAGAAGTTGTTATGGTATGGAGGGCAAGTTAACGCGTTTTATTCGTCAAGAGAAACTTTTGTTCAAAAGGTATCCATAGGTTTTATAGTAAACAGGTCTAACAACAACAACAACATGGTTTAATATGTAAGCATACGGTAGGCGATTATAGAAGCGTTAGTCTCAGATCGGAAAGTTAGGACCCTGATGGGGGGGGGGGACGTTTCTCGAAACCGTCATTAGTCTAACTCCTTAGACATCCCATTGGAACGTGTTTTATAGAATTAACACGCGTTTCTATGGGATGTCCACGAACTTAGACGTAAGACGGTTTTGAGAAACTTGCCCCTGTGTGCTGTGTGATGAAGTAAGCGTTTGTGCATGCAAACTACGTCTTACGAAGAAAGTGCATCATCCTTCTAAACCCAAAGTCGGTGTCAACGTTAGTATAACACATTATTAACTCTAACCAATTAACGTCAAACAGTACGTATACAGCATCAAAAACGTTCTAGGGCTACGTCAAGAAACCACTAACAATGATAAGCTGCTTGTTTGTTGAGCTATGAAAAACGAGAAAACATGCGTGGCATGACGTCGCATCCATCTTCAACATTAATTTTTTGAACATTAAAAAGGAGACATTGAACTCTAAGCGGTGTGTGAGGGGATGGTTAATATTGATCATATTGGCCCGAATTCACAAAGGAGGTTTGTCGACAAACCGAGGTTTATGTACGTCATATGACGCGTTTTGGCGCGTTTTTTACAAACCTGGTTTGTAAATAACAAAAGGAGGTTTGTCGATACAAGAGGAGGTTTGTCGACAAACCTCCTTTGTGAATTCGGGCCATTGAGTTTGTCCAAAAAAAGCAGTGCGTTGACAACCAAAGAGCAAAGCTTTAGACTAGACCGTTTATCTTTGTATCTCTTTTTCTTAAAGTCTCTCACACACTTTCCTGTTTATTTTCTTATTCCTCTCTCTCTCTCTCTCTCTCTCTCCCCCTCTCTTTACCGTATGTCTCTGTATTTCTCTTACTCCTCCTAACACGTTCTCTTACTTTCTCTCTATCTCATCTATCCCCTAGAATTTTAAAAAAAACTCAGGTTTTTATTTCTCCCTCCCTATTTTGTCATAAATCGAGTTTACTTCCTCACTCGCCTCATCATAATGAAGAAAAAAAATCCCTAGAGATTAATAACCATGCAACCGCGAAAATATAATCTCCGTGCTGCAGTTATTACTATTGTTAACCAATACTGGAAACATATCATATTCCCGGGTTCTTTTACTTCTAGGGCGAAGAGGAAAGTCAGTTTTGTTTGTTCTCAATTTTCCTATCGTAGCAGTTAATATCTAGATCTGATTTTGTAAAGACACGTCTAGTATTATACTGTGCTGTGTACCAATCTTGAGATAATTATGGCCTGAAGGGGAAAAATTTATTGTCGAATGACACTTCTTATTCTTATTCAAAATCAACAAGTAAATGTGCAAATTGTTCAGAGTCTGATGAACGTTCACAGGAGGAGGTTGATGAAAACAGATTTGTTTTTAACAAAGTTATTGATTTTAAGACTAACGGTATGCCAAAAAACAACGACAAGAACAAAAAAAATACACCTCACAAAAAAAAGAAAGGAGGGGCAGCTAGTTAAAAATAAATTGCAAAATATATGGCAGGAAAAATGTTATGAAGGCACGTCTAGTTGTGTATTCACGACATTCTTTTGGTTATAAAACCTTGTAGTTGTAAATTTAATTTGGTTATTTCGACCAGACATTCTCCTTCATATTTCGCGATTCAATAAACATTCTTCCTCCCCCCCCCCTTTTTTTCGGGGGGGGGGTCAATTTCTAATAAAAGGTTGTCATGATTTGGCGAGGCAACACCAAAGTGGGGCATAAAATTGGCCAAATATTGATAACACAAATATAATAATACAGTGAGTGATGTATTGAGGAAGCAACACATTGTACTCCTGTGTATATATATATATATATAAGTGCTGAACTCAATCCTCTCTCTTTCTTTTCGTTCTTTTTATTTAAAAAAAAACATTTTCCTTTCTCCTCCTCCTCTCTCTCTCTCTCCCTCCACTTACTCTAATCGGTACATTTCGATCTACACGAATTTCAAGAAAAATCTTTAATATTCTTTAAACTATCCAAACAACGCCCAAAGGAAGAAAAAACGGCGTGAATAACCATAATTTGCAAATCACATGAAAAAAAATGAAATTTCTCCTCCCAAATGAAGAAAATATGTAAATTGAGATACAGATTTTTATCCAATAAGTTCATAATCCTGCGTGCCCTTTGGCACGCTGGATATATGGGTTATGCATGTATTATGAGTAAGTGTTACGCCTTTATCAAAGGTGTGGTATTGTAAGGCTATGAAAACATGAGTAGTAGTAGCAGTAGTAGTAGTAGTAGTAGTAGTAGTAGTAGTAGTTGTAGTAGTAGTAGTAGTAGTAGTAGTAGCAGTAATAATACTAGTAGTAGTAGGTAGTAGTAGTACAACGTAGTATTAGTAGTAGTAGTAGTAGTATAGTAGTAGTACAATGTAGTAGTAGTAGTAGTAGTAGTAGTAGTAGTAGTAGCAGTAGTCTAGTAGTATGGTATTGGTAGTAGTAGTAGTAGTAGTAGTAGTAGTAGTAGTAGTACAATGTAGTAGTAGTAGTAGTAGTAGTAGTAGTAGTAGTAGTCTAGTAGTATGGTATTGGTAGCAGTACTAGTAGTAGTGTAATATAGACGAATTCTTATCTAACAAAATTATATTTGATAATGTGAGCAACTATGTACCAATATTGGATATAAATGCAGTTTAAGAAACATGTAAAAACAAAAAATAAGCAAATTTCTTTCTGTTTTAAAAAAGATTTATACGAATTTTGTTCGCGATTTTCTACGACCTACGCTCTCTGAGTACAGAATAGCTTTATACAAAATTGCAGAAGTTTAATTTTCATTTCAAACTGGAATCAGGTGATTTAAAAAGTCTATAAATGGATCGGATGATAATGAACATTATGACCAAGAAGCTGTAGGGTGTCTGAATGAGCTAATAGGGACTTTTAGATTTGAGTGGACTGATACGTGTGACGTCCATTCAAGGCAGTGCATTAAAAGGACGTCGATCGTAGCAGTCCAAGTTGTCGTTGTGCAAATCTAAAAAGTCCCTAATACCGCGCTGGCGTATTCAGAAGAAATACTGCTCTAGATTGCAAGATGGTTGATAACGAATTGTTTAAAATAGACTTATGCAGGAATGCATTTAATTGATGGACTAAGTTTTTCATTACACCTATTCTAATTCACTGATTTTGCAAGCAAATTGACGTAAAATCTTGAAAAATGAGACAAATTGAATTTGGATTTATATTACAGTAGTATCATACTTTGATCGACATTCAACGATGCAAATGTATATTATAGGGCGGACGGAATTCCAATTTACAGATCAAATTCTGTAGGTATTGTTATAAACTTAACAAGAAAGCATAAACTTTATCATCTTCAAAACGAGTACTTTTCTCATCCTACTATGTTACCTATGCTCTCCTCGGTAGAGATGGGCAATTAAATGTGAGTCTTTTCCCGTATTTCAACACACATTTAGGGAGAATTTCATCGTGTTTCTTGCTTTTGTAATGTTAGCGGCAATGCTAGTCTATGGCTCTGACGATATTCTAAAGCCCCCCCCCCCCCGGTTCTAGAGGGACGAATTGTCGTCTACCCATTGTCTTTGCTATCACTGTTCACGGAGACATCAAACAAAATAATGTAGAGCGAAATATCGTCTTTCTCAGCAAGCCGTCGACCATTGTATTATTATTATGGCAATAAAAAGCATGTTTAGTAAAGACGTTTTTGATTACATGTACGGAGACGAAATGGCTTTCTTCATGGCGCATTATTTTTGAAGAGTTAACCCTTACAGGAAAGGACCTACTTTTAGGGCTAAATTGATCACAAAATTTCTTCAATTTGGTAACAAAATGCTCTTGTAATGCTACATTGTTAACAATAAAATGTAATGTCTCTAAAAGTAATGTACATGGGCGTCGATGTTGTCGAAAAGTTTTTTTAAATGGCAATTTTTTTTATAAAAACGGTAATTTTGAATCTCTTAACATGTTGCCAATTGAAGGATTTGAAAGATTATTTCACATTGAAAATTGATGGTTTGAAACGCAATATAGCAATGAAACAGAAATGAATGCAGTGTGTGCAAAAATGTTCTCCCTTGCCCATGCATCTGGCATATTTTTAAATCTCTGAATCAAAAGTTATTGAGCCAAACCACAAAATGTGGAATGATTGTCGCGAAAGGGTACATGGACTATGCATATAGCTTTATCATGCACTGAATCACTACACGCTATATAGAGCTTGTTTATCAACTACTGTAACACTAAACATCAACTACAAGAGCCTAAACAAACATTCATCGTTTAACAGCACTGTCTATTCCACTATTAAATTATGGAGTACCGAAGTGCTAACGACATATTCACTCGTCATCCTGGTTATTGTTTCAAAACAACAGAGCCTGTGCATGAGGTTCACCGCGACATCATTCAAGCAACGGGCTGGAGCAGGGCAAATTCTGTGTTTGGCGGTGGTGTGATCACCACACCTCTATTTGGCACAAAATTGTTGGGACCACCAACCTTGACATCTTGACCAGTATGACGTCACATTTCGGTACTCAATCTATAATCATGATACCACGCCGATTGATTACTTTTATATTATATGTATTTGCATCATACCTGGTTATTATGATACAAATATCGGAGTGTAAATCCCCCCAAATCATTATTGTCTCATTTGGGAGGTAAACACTTCAACTGAGTGCTTGGTGTGGCCAGCTTTTAGACTGATGAATGATTATTGAAATAATGATGTGCGATGAGTCATATTAAGCGGATTAGTGACATGTATACTGTTAAAACAACAGATGGCGCTATATATCAGACACTGGCAGTGTCATCGCACCATCTAACCGCGGACCTACTACAGTCCATGATCTAACTCGGTTTTAAACACCAACTGTTGCTTTGTGGGTCAGCAAACAAGGCAAGGTTAAGGCTGCATGTAGTGCGTGTAACTGAAACTTGCATGTGAACTCTATTATTAGTGTGGTAATATGGTTCCCTTCAATTATAAAAAACTGTGTCGGGTAATGATCAATAAACATATTTTTCCTGGTTGATTTCTGCTACCCAACCTCACAAGGCCATCCAGTTTGTTAGTCATCACACACCAACATCAATAATCTATAACTATTCCATATTACTTACCGCTCTTTCCTGTTCACGGATCATGCAATGGAAATAGATATTACAAATAAATATATAGCACCGTTGCCATTTTTATGACATAATGAATAATAGTTGCTTGCGTAAGAAGGATCGTTTTCATGGCGGTTTACATGATCAGAATTGATTGATTTACTGATATTCAATTTGGAAATATCACGTTTGAAAGTCAAGGAGTTCGTGAAACCTTTCTCTGAACACAAAAGTGAATGGTTGCCCCGATATCGCACCTAAAGATAAGGTTAACTTCTGGTAATGATAAAATCGAATTCTTACAGAATCCAACCAAACTTACACTGAATGTTCAAAATTACAAATAAATGACATGTGTCGAACACTTTTGGTAGAAAATGTATAGGGGCTGAGTATTGAGCACAAAAAGATAAAGAAATCAAGCTAGGTAAGTAGGCCCGACACCAAGTGGTCAACACAGGTCACCATGTGCAAAATTAATGAGAGCTGTGGTTTTATTGAAGATGATTTCCAGCAAATTTGTGTGAGGTTGTTTTTATTTTACTGGTTCAAACGATCAAGCTAATGCAGAATAAACAATCCAGAATGAATTATAGCCATGTTCTCTCGACATACGATGTCCATACCAGAGCTCAAGATTACCTTAAATTCTGTCAAATGTTGATAACTGGATAGACATTTATCGAATCATAATTATGTTAGCCTAATAACAGCAGAGAATATCGTTTCGAAATGACATCAAACAATCATAATGGAGAGGATGCCTCGCAACATATTCAATGACATTATAAATGGAATCTAGATCATTTGAAACATCATCTTTAGAGAAGTAATATAAGTGCCATTAACAAAATAGTGGTAGATTTTAAAATTGTGAATGAGTGCCTGTTTGATTGATTGATTAACCAATTTATTTTATTTAATTTTCATGAAGTGACGGTAGTGAGGAAAATCGTAACGCAAAGTGAATGCAATTTGTATTCACTACCGTCACTTCGTGAAAATATTATTGATTAATCGGTTGACTGATTGATTCATTAATTGAATGTTTGGTTGATTGGTTGACTGACTGTCTGAATAAATGATTGATTGACAGACAGGCACGCAGACAGACTGAACAATGAATGAATAGAATAATCATGAACTTACGTTTGCTTGGGCATTGCCGTCAGCTCCCTTAGAGAGAAGCAGTTCAACGATGCTTGCATGACCCGATTCGGCAGCCATAAGAAGAGGTGTTTTCCCTTCCTGTACTCAAGAGATATTAACACATTGAATTGTATAAGCATCGCCTATGTGAATTTACTTATCCTTAAATCAACATATTTGGAGGAAAAATGGAGATAACGTAGAGTTCATGAAACGGATATAAATTAAATGGACAATATCTGCATGCATGTTGAGCATATGATCTCATTAATCTTCAAATGAACATATTTGGAAACTGTGAAGATGAGTACGTAGATTTCTTGAAACGGATATGAAACCAATATCTGCATGAAAGTTGAGTCAGTCTATATTTTATCATATTTATGAAAACTAAATTTATTGTGTTCCACTGTAATTCTGTGAATGAAGGCTAGTTTCGTTGCACGAGTATAGGCTAGGCATTTCCAGTGCAAACCAAAGCATATTGGCTCAACCCTAATTACAGCTATAACCGTATGATAGATTAGAAAACCTATATTATAACCCTTGGATGCAGGCGTTCTGACCAGTTTTAAAAATATATTATAAAACAGAAAATAATTCCAAAACCCAACGAATGATTTTTGTTATACAACGTACCTCATTTCTAATGTTAATCTCCAGTTCATACTCGAGGAGTGTGGAGACCATGTCAACATGACCATTACCCGCCGCTAGATGGAGTGATGTAGAACCATCCTGTTTGTGGAGAGAGAAATATCAAACGATACTTATAGCTTGAACAAAATGCCTATAATTAATTATGTATTTAAATTGTGAACAGTATAAACAACAGTTTTCACCATAGTTTTGTTGTATTATAGTATAACACGAAAGGGAAAAATATAACCCTAGTTGGTGTCAATAGGCAGAATCGTCGTTTAATTCGGGTGATTGAATTGAAGTAAAATTATTGAATTTTTTTTTTTTCCTTTTCTTTCTTAAAGGTAGTATGTCCCATTTGCAGGCCAAAAAAATGAAAAAGCTAAATTCCAACTGCATTTGAAAAATAATACTAATTTAGAACTTCCCTAAAAAAAGTGGGGGTTGAAAATGTCTTCAAGTGGGAAAATAACGACTATTAGTTGTCAAATCGACTTTAGGGTTATAGAGCCCAAAAGTAATAGTCTTGATTTTCAGACAATTGTACCAAATGGTCATACGTTTTATGCTGCGCAAAGATTCAATCAGTTTAATCTTGGCCATCACAAGAAGTGGGTTATTGATGTAGACAAATGCTCATGTACCCTTTTACTCTTTTCATGTATGTTATTACCAAAGAAGAAAAAAGCCTGTCAGTCACTCAGTAGTGTCTGACAGTGAAGTCTAGCAAGTAAACGGGTTTCCTTGCATAATTTAAATATGAGGACACTGCTAACGTTTAAATTTCACAGATAGGACATACATGACATATTCATAATTCCTGCAAAGTTCTACAGAATTTGAGGTTGGCTGCAAAAGGGACATAGTACCTTTAACGTAATTTCATGTTCATGTTATAGCTGTATTAAATTGCATTCATTCAAAGTATACATGTACATCAGATTACACTAACAACTACAGCATTATGATCAATCATTTCAATTATTAATCAGTCTTCATGTATGGAAATGTGCATGAAGATAAGTAGTGATATAGACCACGCCTAATGACATTTTGGGAAAATATGCCGAAACAGTAATTAATTTCAATCTAAAGATAAGAAAATGGAATGATGTATAGTGTGAACTTACGTTTGCTCTTGCAAACTTGTTGCATTTGACTTTAGCGAGATACTCGAGAGCTGAGACTTGGCCGTGTTCAGCCGCTACGTGAAGAGGAGATTTTCCACCCTTGAAAATACATACAAATAAAAAGGAATGGTTGAATTAGAGTCATAGTAATTGCAGTCGACAATCATATTTATTCATCGTAGGGTAGTATATGAAAATGTACGTATTAGTTAAACACTTTCATATAATACCTAACGTGCCCTTTAATTTTTATAAATGCGTTGTGGCCTTATATACAAAATAGTAATACGATCCTAAATTATTCATCATAGTTTTGGTCAACCGCAATATGGAAAATGATTGATTAATTGATAAATAGATACGTAACACATGTTTAATTAAACGTGAATATTATCGGGGGAAATTATTGCAAATCTCATAATGCAAATATATCATTGCATCACAAACTTTATACCTTACTTAAAATTTCATTTTTTTCCCACAAATATAATGTAACGAAATGTTGCGAGTCATTTGGAACTACAGTTCCTTATGATTAAGACTAAAAATGTGAAATAACTCATTTTACTAAAGAAAGGTGCTAGTCTGTATTATGTCATTTATTCATTTACAGCTTTCTTTTAGAAGGTCTTTATATATCAATTATACACAAATGTAAGTAGTGTTTCTTCAATCAAATAATTATTTATAATGCAGTATATAAGAAAACTGATACAGGCATAATTATTTTAGCGAAAGATGCTAAATATGTGTTCATAGTTACAGCTATATTGATCGCACAAACCTCCAAATCTCTACGACACAACATGCTGAAGAACAATTATATGCAATACAATGATCTCTCAAACAATATAAATGCATTGTACGATACGCACTACAAGTTGACATTGAATTCGGCAAGGAAAACATGTTTGACTTATGCTAATTCCATCTTACATGAATAAATGAGATCATGCAATAAAAGAAAAAAACATAAACAAACCACGATGATAAGTAAATAGCGCAAGGGAGAACACACTGAGTCCTTAAATTGCATAACTGGGAAATAGACTGAATTAAGAGAAGGAAGATACTTTTTTCCATTTTGCTATATGCACTTAAATGAACGTATATAGCTTCAATTGCATTTCTTCTTATAGTCAAGAAAGTTTTTTTTTTTTTTTTTTTTTTTTGGGGGGGGGGGGGTATTTTTTTTGTAAATTTAATTTCAAATTGAAATTGTTTAGGTAATTAACTTAATAATCTGCATCTTACACATATGTGATAATGTTCTAGGACAACCGAACTGTACCATTACCACAAGCTTTGTAGGCCTACGGATGTAACAACAATTATGGTGATGTGATGGAACAATCATTTGATGTGACGACATGCTACAGTATAACACATTCCTGACACGATGACATCACGGCTACATTTTTCAAAAGAACACATCGTCATGCAATACCAAAATGAACCCCGTCGACTGTATCCGTACAACGAAGACCCGGTCAAAACAGCGACAAACAGCGACATGCCGGTAACAACCGCGTCAAAGCATGCGGTATACCTCCTTTGATCTCTTCTCCAGTAAGGAATCGGACCGACGCCTTTTCTTTTTCTTCTCATGCGGTTCCTTTTCAGGTTGCCACCGTCCTTTTCTGACCATTCTCTGTGAGAACGACTCCTCACGCGGTTGCTCTGGTGTGTAGTTGTTATAATAATCATAAGCCTCACTCAGTTCCTGCACTGAAGACTCATTCAGGCGACGGCAGAGGTTGGGATTAGATGAACTTAGCTCACTTTGAGCCGCGATCAACGACCAGCCCGATGACGTCGCGTTGTTCGAGAGGCAGTTCGCGGCCAGCGATGACCGACGTCGAATTTGGTCGAGTTCGTTTGGATTTAACAACCTCTGATAGTGGGTGTTGAAAGTAGTATATTTAAAGAGAAGAATGTAACCTAAATGTAGCTCAAATTTGGGTTCCACAATCCCAAACTCCATAAAGAAATATTTGATTTTCATGTGAAACAGAACATTTTCATCACGAACCTCGTGTTAAATTCTTTGCGGTTTCATAAACTTTGACAATTATAAGACTTATAAGAGGGATGGTTCTCAGTTTCAAGTATCTTTAAAAAGGAGGAAAAGATAGGATGAAACTTTTCATGCATGGACCTACCTTTTTAAAGTAACATTTAAAGTCTCTCTCTCTCTCTCTCTCTCTCTCTCTCTCTTTCCACGCCTCCCTCACCCTCTATCTCTCCAAACGGTTATTAAAATATTTGTAAAAATCCACAGCATTTCAACAAAACACAAATAACACGAAGAGATGTGGATGATGGAGTGAAAAGGGTCACGTCACACAAATTAATACAGGTGTCTTAAAGATATAGACCGATAATGTTAAAATTGCGGTTCAAGGGTTTTGGGTGCAAAATATCCATTCAATATTGTTTAGATATTGCCTTCAGAGGTTTAGATGTCAATATCTCAACCTAAATTCGCAAAAAACAGAAATATATGACCAAATGCTCAATATTGAAGTGCATAATAATTTACCAAATATATCAATTAGTAGGCGGTGTCCTGGCAAAATTTGTATCATCACGTATTTAGTCAAAACATATTCTTTCACATGATTGGTAATAAGAGCTTCCATTTCATTTTAAGAGAGGGGGGCGTTTCCAAAACTGGTCTATACCTTTAGACTCACAAAACACCAACAAGTGTATACTTACCATTCTGTAGATTTTGATCAAAAAAGTAATTACAAAATGTAATAATTATTTAAAGATGATTTCTTTTTATTATATATAATTAATTGGTATTTAGACTCATTGGCAGCTTATGTTTTTGTTCAGTGGCATTGTAATTTACTTAGCAGCAGTGTAAAGTTAAAATATTAAACTGATCAATAAGACAAGGCAGACTCTCTGAATCAAAACTCTCTACACGAAAACACTCTAAATATGTTCACTTCTGTCCTGCAATAGACATAACGAAATATAGCATAAACATCAGGTACATGATGAACACAGACCTAAAATATCAGATGTGGTTTATTGCATCCCCTGTTTTCGTAATGAATGTGATATCAAACATTGGCCTGAACAAAATTTCAACATCTTTGATTATGACGAAACCTATTTTGTCCATGATTTGAAAGCAAACGAGAAAAAAATAATCAAAACAAATGATCATGAGTTAATTTATGAACTATATAACTGACGACGTTATAACCCATAAGGATTGATAATTACCTCAGTCCAATGTGATTTTTAGACAACATGTACTGAAATATATGTACAGCAAACTTGATAGTCGCCATCGCACCTCTATTATGTAATATTCATAACATTATGAAATAAAATGAATAACCAAAGAAACAAATAATTGAATCAAAATCGAACGAAATGAAATCAAATTTTAGAAAAACTTACGTCGTCTTTGTTTGTTTTTTTCTCCGCGAAAGAATCTACGCTTCTGGTCTTCTTCTTCACTTCTGTCGGTTTACCCATGGCCATGTTGCCGATGTTGCCCATCATGTTGCCTGCTGCACTAAACAAGCCAGTCACCTTGTTTTGTATAAGTTAAACCACCACAATGTCCACCGTGAAATGGCGAAGTTAGGTAACCATGTACCAAGAAGATATGTTGTAAACCATGATGTTGTGTACCATAATGTTGTATATCACCAACGTGCACCATGGATTTGTTTTTATAAGGTTTTGTACCATGATGTTGTTCACGATTACGTATACCATAATGTGGTATACCATAATTTTGCACATCGTGATGTTGCGTACCATGATGTAAATGTATACCAAGTTGTTGTATAGCATGTTGTTGTATAGAATGTTGTTGTATATGTGTACCACAATTATTGTTTGTCATGAAGATGTATATCATGATAATGTTTCACATGAAGTTTTGTTCAATGAAGTTGAATTAAATGAAGTCGTATACCGTCATGTTGTGCATCATTACGGTGTTGTATACAATGATGTTATAAACCACGATATTGTATTCCATGATATTTAGGCGAATGTTTTGAATGAAGTCGTGAATTATTTTTGTATTATGATGGAACGGAACACGACACATTACGAAAACAAAATGGTTGTTTACGATGGGCGTGGTGAGAAAATTACCATGCAACAATACATGACAAATATAGTTACATCAAAGACGAGTGGTATAGAGATGGTGATGTTAGATAATTGTTTTAATAATGTTGATGATGGTGATGACGTCACGGCAAATATTAAAGTCATTATTGTCCATGCAAATATTTGTTGAAAGTTAGTGTGTGAAGTGTTAGGTTTAGACAGACAGGGCAAGAAAAGGGAAGAACAATTGAAAACGTTCAATTAACATACTGCAAAGAATACACTTATACCTATTATATATGATACTCAAGAAATATAAACAACTGCATGTATATCTTATAACCTCAGTACACGTAAAAATCATAATTTATACACACAAAAAGTGTTCTATAATTAGCAAAACTGAAATGAACATGACTAATATGACAGCAGGCGAACAAGGAAATAATTATGGTTATGACTGGGTGTTTTTTTTTATCTAGCCTCTAAACAGTCTGTTGAATAAATGGTCCATGGCACGATTTTGGCACTTTATTTGCCTAAACAGTTCAAATTTGTGATATACCAAATCAATGATATACCATGATACCAGAGAAATGTCCATGATTGTATATAACCAGGTTATGTAGTCGTGGCCGACGGTTCCGAGTCACAAATATTACTTTCAATTGGCTTTGTGCTCGTGACTCGGTCCGATGCCAAGACCTGGGGGTGTTTCACAAAGATCCTAAGTCAAACTTAACTCTAAGTTGGACTTAAAAATTATGGAGAGCCATTTGTAGCCTTAAAATAAAATATATTCAAAAGCAAAATTTGAAGTATTTTAGACTTTTCATAAGTTCCACATCAAGAACATTATATTTTTTTGACGACAGAAAAGATGGATGATTTGAATCAACATGTTATGCCTTTTAAAATCATTTTTACAAAATATTTTCAATGATGCTAACGGCTTCCCATAAAAGTCCAACTTAGAGATAAGTTCGACTTGGGATCTTTGTGAAACACCCCCCAGGACCACTAAAAAATATGCCATCTAGGCCGGACTCGACGACATTTCTAGAAGAGAGCATTCAATGTCATTCATGATTATGTGACATCTTTGGTCATTCAATGATATATTGCCCTTATAATCAAATCACATATTACATGATATCAAAATAACACATGATATCAAAATAACACATGATATCAAAATAACACATGATATCAAAATGACAGTACATCAATAATCTACAGCTTTGGCAGATTCCAACATACGGTCAATATCGATATTGCAAACATATTCCTGTGAAAATATGGCAGTGTACTGGATATTTTGGTACCCAAGCATCCCATATATTGCATAATTAATAAGTGCCATTATAAGCATGGCATAATTATGAAGCAAAAGATTAAAATAAATTATGCACTTTTATTTTGTTCAGCAAAAGCATGGAAATTCCATTATCAAGCAACTATGAATATACAATCTCAATCGCAAGGTAGCGAGCAAGAGCATGCATTTGTTTATATTTAAGAATCGAACAAAGATGTACAAGTAGCACAAGAATTCATTGTATGAAGTGAAATTTGATAACAGTATTAAGCAAATTAAGTATATTTATCATATTTGGGCATTTAACATAATCACAATCGAAATAGACATGAGCAATGGTGTAGGTGCAAAGGAAAGTACACCCATCCCCTCCACCAAATTGCAAAGCAAAAAACATTTGTATGAGGTAAAGAGAGAAAGACACGTTGACGTGATAAAGTACAAAAGAAGGGCAAGGAATGAAATATGCTAAATGTACCCCTTCTCCTACCCCCCCCTTCTCTGTGCCGCCTGGTTGCCGTGCTTCCTCGCGTCGCATTGTATCCACCTAGAGAAGGATTCGTACACCCCCCCCCCCGCCTCCCCGACATCCAGTGGCCCCTTAACGCCACTGCAAATGTTATTTTTTTTTACACAACCAAGTAATGATACAATAAATGCGAAACAAATAGATATAGTCCTCTTTTGCAGCAATAGTAAAAACACCAATCAATGAAGCACTAAGCAACAAGGGCGAAAAGCATTTTTGAAGACCTTTATTTGAATGAATGGCATGTCTACATGATGGGGATCTTACCTGTTAAACAAAATACGTGAAGCCTCTTACAAAAAAAGAATGTGAACTTACATTCATATATATTTTTATCAATTCTTTCTGTCCCTCATCAATTTTTAGCTTTCCCTTTAGAAATATGATTTCAGTTCTTTTAAGAACTAACACATCTCTCCAAGAAACAATATCCCAGTCATTAGAAGGACTACACACATGGTGTACCTGTTTACAGTATCCTGACTCATCTCCCTCACTATGCAAACCTATAAAGAACACTTGAATATGATATTCATAACCATTGACGGAGCTCCATAGGATAAAGGATCATAAAGACCCTTCCCCCCCCCCCCCCCAAAAAAAAAGAGAGAGAAAGAAAGGAAGGAAAAGAGGGAACATGGAAGAAGATGAAAAGAGCATAGGATCATTATGACCCCCTCCCCCTCCCCAATCGAACGGCGGGGGAGGCAAAATAGAGATAAAGAAAGGTAGGGAAGGGGAACATGAAAGAAGATGATACTGTAGAAGCATAGGAGCATAATGACCCTTCCCCCCCCCCCCCCTCCCATCGACCGCGGGCGGAAGGCAAAAAAGAGATAATGAAAGGAAGGGAAGGGGGAACATGAAAGAAGAAGATAGGAGCGATCGCCATGAAATGAAGCAAACCAAAAACCAAAAACCCGCCTGATTTCTTTTCTCCTCCAGAGGAACCCTGATACACCCAATGACTACCGATCACCGACCGATTTTTACCCGATTCATATTTGACGTAGGCCGTGACAAGTCTTCATGGCTCCCACTCCTATTGTTAAGCACAGATACCACTCCGGGGAAAAAACTTGAAGTTAATGCTGACGCGATATCCTGTTGAGAAAAAGTGCCATTTCTACTCATTCGTCATTATTCCAACACCACATGTGTCTATCAGACGTTATAGCGGACCGGTAAGAAAATGAGAAATAAAGGTGAGGAATCCCATTTCGTGCAAGACATTTCCAAAATCAAGAAGAAAAAAACCTGCCGCAAAACATTGATGAGAGTCCGAAAGCTTCGTTCTCTGACGTTTATACCTCCTTTTTTGTTTTTTTGTTTTTTAGTTTTTTCATTTTTTTAACCAATGAAAGATAAAAGAATCGATAAACCTATGATAAAACAAACAACTAAAATAAAACAGAAAACGTAAGATGAAGCCTCTGATTTCTCATCATTGCTTTATAGTGTTTTGTATAATTTCAGAAAAATTTCTTCCCCAGATTTTTGTGCAGGGTAAATACAAATGGAAGAGAGGGAATCAAGATTAGTAAACATTCCATTTCACCGCGCCTTACCTTTGGCTTTTGAAACCTGGCAAGATCCTGACGATATTTCTCTTTAGCCTCTTCCAAATCAGTCTTGTAAAATTTGTCAATAATACTATAGTTATTCGTTACAAATATGACTTTTGTTTTCTCAACATTGTATATATTATATCTACATAATCAGTGTAAGCATAACGACGGGGGCGTGGCCACAGGAGTGTGACCCTCCCATTTGAATTTGTTTACATTTTTCTGTTCGTAGCACTTTCATTTAATTTCATTTATTTTGAACATTGTTTCAAAATAAACACTAAAAATGACCTTTTCAGCCTTCATTAATTTCATTTCCTTTCCTTTTTTGGGGTTTAAACAAGATTATGAAACACTGCAAGCGTGGTCAGAACATGTGAAAATCTTGATAATGTAAAGTTCTTTTTTTGTCTTGCCTGGAGGGGCTTTAAGCTGAATTTTGAACAATATACATTGTAGGTCCCCGCACATTCAAAATAGTAAAGCGACTTCCGTCACCATGGAATTGGAAATAACATGTTATATTCTACACTGTTTTCAGTTGCAAAAGACCAAATGGTTGAGAAGTTATATGAATTCTCGGGAAACACTAGCAAACAATATTCGTCATGGTAATATTTTAATAATGATAATAATTAAATAATAATAATTAAAATTTAATTTCCGTTGTATTTGGGGGAACGGTAAAAAGTTTTCAGAGGAAACAAAATAGATATAATAATGAGCGTCCTGTAAAGAAGTTTTTTTTATTAATATCGCAATTGCATTCTAAATAGACTTTGATCAATATTTTTAGAGCACTCATGAAGATGCTAATCCTATTTTATTTTTTTTGCTGCTAGCTTTAACGCAAGAAATATTAGCATCATTAGTCGCAGAGAATAAGAGACTTTTCACGCACAAATCTCCAGTCAAAAGTCTTCAAGAGACGAAAAATCCAATGAGGATCAGAGATTAGAGATCGACTGGTTAAAAATATTAACAGAGATTAATCAGATATAAGAGTCATGTTAAGGTAAAGATAGCCGACAGAAATATTTGGGGTCGAAATTACTTGATGATACGTGAAGTATACATTGTTCACACCTATATGATAGTTTAGACATGGAAATAGTAGTATGCTATAGACAGCGACAGTAATAGTTTGGATCGAGATACGCAAACTAAATAGGATATCTCTACCTATATGGTATATAATTCAGACAGTGATATATCGTAAGCGACAGAAATACCTTTGATAGAGATTATATGAAATTGTATCGTGTTTACAAATCTGGCAGTAAATAGTACGTTTCTATTGAATGCATATAGTTTAGAAAAGGAAAATTATTATTCTATAATTAGAGACAGAAAGGTTTTTTTGATCAAGATTATGTAATAGTTAACCCGCAGTTAATAGTCTTTATACCAGTGCAAGATAGTTTAGACGGAAATATTTTGCTATATTGATAGCGTGAGAATATTTACAGAAATACATAATTGCTGAAATTATTTTGTTACAGCGTATTGCTTTATAATACGTGACAAACATGAATAGGCAGATTTCTCTATGTACGATAATTTAAACAGGGAGATTTTCACTTTTCCCACATTGACATTAGAAAATTGATAAAAATGATAAGAAACTTAATTTGTCAGCAGGGCATACTGCAAGTGGCTAATTAATGGGCATAGTAATAAAGCAGCGAAATCATGAAAATGTCCAACTCGATACGTAAGTTTCACAAAGTAATAAGTGGAACCTGACAAATCATCCAAACCGGTGTAATAATTATTACCTATTATTTAGGTATAAGTTTTATCGAATTTACCTCCAATCTCTTACATCATATGGGAATACTGAAATTGTAATTGGTTAAACGGACACCTCAGTTTCCACCCCCCCCCCCTGAATGTGGTATGATTCATATTACTTTAGCAGAAGGGTTACTCTTGAGGATAGAATTTTCTGCAAGTCTTCCAGCTCTTGAGATTATGATAAAATGTGAAGATTATCTTACCTTTCCCGACACAGCATTGAGACTGATTCCTCCACCGTCATCCTCTTCGTAGTCGCTGTCCATCGGGTCCTCGTCGAGGAGTTCGCGTACGATGTACTCCAGGACGTTACGATGACCTCGCGATGCTGCACAGTGGACGATATTCATCCCTTGCTGTATGGTTAAGCAAAGTTGTGGTAATAATGACAATCTTCTTGATTGATAGAGCACCCAATGGTATATCAAAGCGTTTACAAAACATGACGGTAACCCCTGTCATCAGATTTGAGGCTCGCTCACATACATTTTGGGCACATTCTTCACTCCATGGGGAGCAATACGACCAGGGAGGTGTTTCACAAAGATCCTAAGTAGAACTTAACACTAAGTTGGACTTAAAAGTTATGGACAGCCATTGGAGCCTTAAAATGAAATATATTCAAAAGCAGAAATTCAAGTATTTTAGACTTTATTTATAAATTCCACATCAAGAACATGAAATCTCCTCGATGATAGCAAATATGAATGATTTGAATCAACATTTTATGCCTTTCAAAATAACTTTTACAAAATATTTTCAAAGACGCTAACGGCTTTCCATAATTTTTAAGTCCAACTTAGAGACAAGTTCAACTTAGAATCTTTGTGAAACATCCCCCAGTTGTAAGTTTTCAAACACGCATAACGTTAACCAAGGTAAAAGCAAGGAATTATGTGTTAATCTCACCGGATACTTATTTATTTATTTTGGTGACAAGGAGGAATGTAGATCATTAACTGAATAGAATATCATGATAGTATGTGTTACACTTGTATTTGACGAGCATATTTGGATAAACCACAAACGTTTATAATGCAAATGCATGATTAAAGAAGCTTACCTTTTACCAGATACTTTCTTATTCTTCAAATTTATATCTATAAGTTAATAAAGAAGTAAACTAACCTTGTTTTCTGCTTTAACGTCGGCTCCTGATCTTACAAGTGCTTTCATTGCTTCGTGCTTCCCAAACCACGTCGCCCACAAGAGGGCGTTCATCCCAAACTAGAGTAAATAAAACATGAAAGGAAATATAGGTATGTGGCCTATATATTAAAGTAGATTTAGGGTGATAGATTATGCAGCATGGATGGTGACTTTATTTCACATGAGGATAATGATGAGGAGGATGATGATGATAATGGCGAGTACTACGATGATGATGATGATGAGGGTGACGATGATAATGGCAATAATGATGAGGATAATGATCACGGCGATGATGACGATGACGATGACAACTATGATAAATATGATGACGATGAAGATAATTCTAATGACAACGACGATGGTTTGGAAGTTGTCGTTGTTTTTAATGATAACAATAGTGCTGATAAGGAAGAGATGGCGGCGAAAAATGATGATAATGAGGACAACCAGGACGACGACGAGAGCGCCGAGAATGTCAACGATAATGAAAGAGAAAATGATCGGGAAAATGAAAATGATGGGAATTATATTAAATCATGATCATGATTATGTTTGTGATTATAGGCTACCTCCTTACCTTATCTGCCAAATCTATTCTAGCATCAGCATCAGTAAGCGATTCAATGACCTCCGTATGCCCTTGTCCCGCTGCCAGCTGCAATGGTGTACGATCCCGCTGTAAAGAAATGGTAGGTAATAGTTTTAAAATAGCTTGTATTATTATTACCTATTTTCTTTATTAACAAGATTATTTGCTGTAAATAGTATGTGCAATCTGAGTTTTATACAGGTTTAACTAACAAACTTTTTAGATGTACATCTGACATACATGATTTGTATATTATTCTATGAGGTTAATTCAATCGAGATTCTCAAGCATAAAAAGAAAACAGAATGAAAGAGAGAGCGGGAGGGAGAGAGAAAATAAAAGTGTTCTCCTTTCTCCATCCATTATCACCTTCCATAAAACCATTATGGTCCATAAACTCCAGCAATGACAACACCACCACAATGCATCATCATCATCATCACACTCGACCCAGGTGAGGTAAATGGGTACCTGGCAGGTATTAAATCTCTGAAATGCTAGTGCTAAAGCTGGGGTAATAATTGTCATCATCAAGTCTGACAGACATGAGAGCTATACAAGAACCCACTATTATTATCATCTTCATCATCATCATCATCATCATCATCATCATCATCACAATAGCTAATTTATCCTAAATCATTAGGGCACAAAATATCGCCACAGTTACCTCCACCGCAATCCCCCCACATCATCTCACAAACAACACTATAAAAATCACTGTTTTCAACAGTAATTTAAAAATAATTTAGATATAAAGATCAGTACAGTTGTTATAAATGTTTGTTATTAAATTCCTTTTGATAGAAATGCGAGATTGCGCGAAACCAATTACCTCGGAAAAGATCTTTCTTTGATTCTATTTGATTTGTGTTATTCCTTTCCTTTCGAGTTTCAAGATATTAAGGTATCCCAAGAGACACAGGAAACTTGTTTCCGAAAAACCTTCGTACAAAAAACGAGCAGGTTTGTCAGGACAGTGCCAATTTAGAACTGACAGGACTTGGTAACCTGGCATAATACTATTCTATCTTTTTTTTTTAATATTATAATTATAAAAAAAAAAAAAAAAGTAACTGCCAAAAAACAAAAGAGAAGTCAGTTGTATTATTACATATGATTAAAAAATAAAATTTTAAAAATTGTTAGTGATAATAGTCAAAATTGACTGATTGCCATAAAACAATAATCAACTTAAACAGTCAACATGCAATCACCCCTTCTCTTGATAATGATAATTATGATGCACTAGAGCAGGCCTTCTCAACTGGCGGCGCGCGCGCCACTTGTGGCGCTTGCGGTCAGACGAAGTGGTGCGCGACTGTTGCAACAACAAAACAAAAAACAGAAAGAAAGAATATTTTTTTGAGAATCAAATACTCAGTTAAATCAAGCAGTTGCAGTCGAATTTGAGCCCCAAATGCCTGCTTAACAAACAGGAAGAAAGTGGAATTTATCGTTTTTTACTATTTTATACGACTCTAAACCTAAGCTCTGAATAACAATTAGCTTACGATGGGTTACCAATTTTAACATTGCCAATCTCTGGAAACATCTTGTTTTTTGTTTGTTTGTTTTTCACTTCATTTTGACATTTCCCGTGTTTATTGCACACAACAAACTACATATAAATATACCTCCTGTGTAATTGTACACAGGAATTGTACTAATTTTGTTCACATCAATATGAAATTATGATTGATTATATTGTGGAATGAAATGGTGCTAAAAATGCCCCATTTGGGCCTTTAGAAAGCCCTAAATCCACCAGCTTCCGGGGGCTCCGCACCCTGCTACCCCCCCCCCCCCCCCCCCCCGTTAGGGCTTCGCATCACAGTCAACAATACAGGGTGGCACTTCAACTACAAATTCTTTTCGTTTTTGGCACTTCTAATAAACTAGTTGAGAAGGCCTGCACTAGATGGTCTTACTTCGTCCATGCAATTCACGTTGATTTTCTGTGCAATCAGGGCGTCCACCAGCGCAAGGTCCCCTGTCCTAGACGCTTCATGAAACTGCTTCTCTTTGGGCAGAACTACAGGAAGAAAGGAGGAACATGAAACAAGGAAGTATGATATAGGTACAGTGAAACCTGTCTATAAAGTCCTCCCAAGAGGGACAAAAACAGTGGTCTTTATAGGCAGGTGATCTTTATGTACAAGTTCCTTTAGTACACGTTTCAATTAGAAACCATTTTCAAGGGAAACACAAAATGTGGTCTTTGTAGACAGGTGGTCATTAAAGCAGGTTTGACTGTATTTTTTTTAAACGTTACCTACATTAATGCTTATATAATTATACTCCAATGCAGTTGTATATAATTATGTACTATTGATTGGTATTTCTAAGGAGCTTCACACATTTATTGCTTTTTCATGTAAATATGTTCAAATGAGACGAGTAAAATTCGGGTCAGATTGTTTTCCCCAACAATATGAAACTTAGCATATCGATCATGTCGATAGAAAGGATATGATATTATTTATTTCAATTTACATTTCACATACAAGCACAGTTTTTTTTTTTTTTACTGTAATCATTTTTGACGATGAATGTCTATTCGAGTAATACAGCAGAAGCGCAATCTGTCATTATATTTAACATGTTCAGTATTCACGTAACTTTCTCAACATTATGAAGAATTATGAAGTATAAGAGATTATCTGGGTGTGACAGGTGTGATCACTGGCGTACCTATGGGGGGGGCAGGGGGGGCAGAGTGCCCCCCTGACGGGCTCCAGGGGAAAAAAAGAAAAAGGGGAAAGAAAAGAAAAGAAAGGAAAGGAAAGAAAAAGAAAAAAAGAAAAGGGAAGAAAAAAAGGAAAAAAAGAGAAAAAAGGAAAAAAAGAAAAAGGAAAGAAAAAAGGAAGAAGAAGAGAAAAGGAAGAAAAAGGGAAAAGAAAAGGAAAGGAAAAAAATGGGGAAATTTAAAAAAAAAAGACCATGGCCGTACGCACCAGGGGGGGGGGGCAGTTGACCCCAGATATTTTGAAAACGTACAGTTTTTTCCTGAAAATGTAGTGTAGGCCTATACCAAATCCTTCAATTCTACTTTTGAAAATGCAAAAGTACCCTCATGACCAGTTCGGTCGCTCGAACTCCCTTCACTCCTTTTGCTTTTGAGATTCTTCGAAAACTTTTAACGCATCTTTCCCCCTCCCCCACCAGAAAAATATTCCGCATACGGCCCTGAAAAATTAAGACAAATGAAAATAGGAAAATATAAGTGATATAACAAATTCGAAACTCTTCGCTGGCGCGAACTGCTTGCTAGCCTATTTTGTATTAAATGTTTTCACTGGCTCGTCCCCCTAAAAAAAGAAAAGGATTAGCATTGCCTAGAATACAATTGTGCCTGCCCCGACGGGCCCCGACCTGCAACCATGGCAACAATAACACACAATGTATGTACCAAATGTTACTAAAAGAGAGTAATTCATTTTTCTCGCTCGCTACACTTGCTCGCGAATAAAATGAATAGATATTGCTTTGGAAACAATTGTGCCCACCCTTGACCTGCAACAATATCATTAAAAATGGAAGAGTTTTTTCGCCCTCTCGCCAAAAAGGAATTGAATCGCGTTAAACGCGATTGCGTCCATCCTGACCTGCACCAATAAAAACAAGTTTATTTATTAATTTCTATTAAAAGAGAATTTTGTTTTTTGCTTGCTCGCTATGCTCGCTCGCCAAAATGGAATTGACACCGCTAACGTGCCCGCCCCAACCTGCAACAACCAGTTAATAATTATGTACCAAACGTTATTCAAAGAAGTTTTGGTGTGCTCGTGCTCGCCAAAACGGAATTAACATCACCTTAGACATGATTGTGTAAGCCCTGCCCTGCAACAAGAAAATATGAAATTTATTATCATTACAAAAATTTTGCTCGCTCGCTACGCTCGCTCGCCTAAAAAGAAATAACACCGCTTTTAATAATCACGTCCCTGACATGGAACAATGAACCCAAGTTTATGTACCATATTTTCCCTATAAAAGAGAAGTGATTTTTTTCGCTCGCTCGCTACGCTCGCTCGCCAAATTAGAAATAACACCGCTTTTAATAATCACGTCCCTGACATGGAACAATGAACCCAAGTTTTATGTACCATATTTTCCCTATAAAAGAGAAGTGATTTTTTTCGGTCGCTCGCTACGCTCGCTAGCTCGTGGAATTATGTGCCCACCACTAACCTGCTACAATATCATTAAAAAGAGAAATGTAGAGGGTTGCCTGCCCGCCAAAATGGGATTGACATTGTCTTAAACACGATTGTGCCCGACCCCGACCTGCAACAATGAAACGAAATTTATATAGCAATTCATTGAAAGATGTATTTTGGCTCGCTAGCTAAAATGGGTATAAAATCACCCTAAACACAATATTGTTCCCGCGCCCTGCATGGGACAATTGAACCAAGTTTAAGTGGCAATTATTAAAAAAGAAGTGATTTTTTTTTTCTTGCTCGCTACGCTCCTTTGCAAAAAAAATGAAATTAACGTCGCTAACAAGTGAATGTTCCCACCCCCAACTTGCAACAATACCAGTTTATATACCAAACGTTACTTAAAGATTTTTTTTTGCTCGCTCGCTCGCCAGAAGTGAAAATTAGCATCGCCTTTTTTGTTTGTTTCGGTCGCTTGCCCCCCCTGACGGAGTACCCCAGGTACGCCACTGGGTGTGATGTACTTTTCATATTTCCATCATGAATATATACTTCACATTTCAACAATTAAAATCTCGCTTTTATAATGTTATTGAATAGATTTGCAATTTTATTTGTAAATATATAACATTCTATTTCATATTATTTCTCACTTCGTTGAGAATTTTGATGCAACGACGAGAACAACAATAACAGTTAAGTCTATATTCATGTAAAATAAAAGCAGGCATATAGGCCTACAACTCAATGGGTTCATTAACACATGCATTTAATTGGACGTAGATACAATTAGGAGTATTACCTGTCAGCATGTGAAAAGAAAGTTCAATAGAACTTGGAAAATAATAAACAGGTACTCCGTCACGAAATATTGGGATACGAACTTATCTGTTATAATGATTTACACCTGTTGCTGCATACTGATTACTCTCATTCAGTTTGTTATTGATGATATTCAATTATTATTAACGATTAAAAAGGAGTAAAAATACTTACGAATCTCATCTTCATCGTCATATTCCTCCTCCATATTCGACACTTATCGTCACAACTTGACAAACTTGTAATGCAAGTATATAATACTATTTCATTTGCTGGTCCCACCTCATCAGATTGGTGTCATGTAGGAAACCCACCTGTTGCTGCGATCAATTATTAACAAGCATATGAATAACAACAGTTCGTATGAGACATGTAGAATTGTTTGTCCTTTCTTTTCTCGAGGCAAGGTGCGTAAAAGATTGTATCAGGTAGTACTATGCTGAAGAAATACTCTACTTTTCCTCTAATAAATGCCGGTACTTATACAAGATAAAGAACAAGTTATAGGAAATCTACGTTGAGTTAAGGCAGTGTGAGATATTATTGAATGCCAGGATTTGTACTCATTGTGACGAAACGCAGTGAAGTGTGCAAAGAGCTGGAGAAAATTCCAGCGGAGTTGTCTATTGTGTGAGCAAACAATAAAACTGATTTGCATATGAATGATGTATTTGTTGTGTTGAGTGGGACAATCCTATAATGTATGTATGGACTGAGAGGTGGGTCGAGTTTCAGAGGGAAAGAGAGAGGGTATCGAGTTGGAGGGGAAGGGGTAAGAGGGGAGAGTGGTGGAGAGACATTGCATGTGAGAGAGGATGAGAGGGGGCAGATAGATGGAGAAAGAAAGCAATTGAGAGAGAGAGAGAGAGAGAGAGAGAGAGAGAGAGCGGGGTAGATATATAAATCAATATAGAGAGACACACATACACAAGGAGAGAGAGAAAAAGGGGGTGAGAGAGAGCGAGAGTGAGAGAAAGAGAGAGAGAGGGAGAGAGAGAGAGAGGGTGAGAGAGAGAGGGAGAGGGGAGGGAGAAAACAGACGGACAGACAGGTAGGCAGGCAGAGAGAAAGAGGGAGAGATAGAGAGACGGAGTAGAACAAGTGAAGTGAGAGAAAACCTACTAGGTCCATGGTTCAATCAACAAATACAACATGTCTTTTCTGCTATTCTCTCATTAATCCCGTTATTCATCACATATTCATGGATGCTGGCTGATGTAGTTATCGGAAAAATAAAGGAATGTATGGTTGTGGAAAGAGGTGCATGAACCAGAGTGTTACCAGACAAATGACATGCCCATATTATATAGCCACTTCTGGAAAATTACGCAGAGAGCTAGACAGAGATAAAAAGAAGTAATGGAGAGAGGGGGGAAATTAGGGCAAAAGGGGCACCCTGGAGAAAAAAATTAATGTCACGGAGTAAACAATTTGGCATGATTTCCTTTTTTAAAATCTGCTCACTTTAGCATGTTTGGAAAACACGCGAATAATCAAATAGAACGTGACAACAACCTGTTCTTGCTTTTGTTTTATTTGTTGCTCTAAAATGTACCATGAATTCCACAATTTTCTGTTTATTTCGATGATTCAATTTGATCATATCAATCAAGGCCTCCATGTGTAGCCTACTGACCAGGTTTTGATACTGACACGTAGATCAGTGCTCTCTCTATATCCACGAGCTATGTCTCCAATTGAAATAGCGCCATCAGGGGTTCTTCGAACGACGGTTCAAACCGAAATGTTCGTCTTAAAGGTACTATGTCCCATTTGCACGCCCAAAAAATGAAAAAGTTAAATTCCAACTGCATTTGAAAGATAATACTTATTTAGAACTTCCCTAAAAAAGCTGGGGCTTGAAAATTTCTTCAAGTGGGAAAATAATGACTATTAGTTGTCAAATCGACTTTAGGGCTATAGAGCCCAAAAGTAATAGTCTTGATTTTCAGACAATTGTACCGAATGGTCATACGTTTTATGCTGCGCAAAGATTCAATTAGTTTAATCTTGGCCATCACAAGAAGTGGGTTATTGATGTAGACAAATGCTCATGTACCCTTTACAACTCTTTTCATGTATGTTATGACCAAAGAAGAAAAAAGCCAGTCAGTCACTCAATAGTGTCTGACAGTGAAGTCTAGCAAGTAAACGGGTTTCCTTGCATAATTTGAATATCAGGACACTGCTAACGTTTAAATTTCACAAATAGGACATACATGACATATTCATAATTCCTGCAAAGTTCTACAGAATTTGAGGTTGGCTGCAAAAGGGACATAGTACCTTTAACTGGGATTTAAAAAAAAAAACACGAATAGACCCCCCCCCCCTACCAAAAAACAAAAACAAAAAACAATTATAATAATAATAACATTATGAATTTAAAAAAAAATAATACTAAATCTATCAAGCTAATAAATAAATCGTAATTGTAAATAGTATAGTAATAATAATAATGATAATAAAATGATGATAATAATAGCAATAATAATAAAAATAATAATGATGATAACAATAATCATTAACACGGGATTTGGGGTGCAGTGGGCGTATGTTTACAATGAATAGCTTATACATTTCGTGATACCCTAGAATGTCCTTTTCTCCACGTAATTAAGCATTGCTCATCATTATGATCCCGTGTGACAATGTCCTCTGCGCTGTCTTTTCCCCTTTCATCTCCTATCTATATATATCCATCTGTTGGTTTAATTATGTGGTTTTATGCCGCAATGTCATGAAACTATATTAGATAAACATATAATTGTTTGTTCAATGGTACTTTCCGTTTTCACTTTAAAAACCTTAACCTGTCTACAAAGTGGCATTGACCACTCAAATAGATCACAGATATGTAGATATATATATATGTGTGTGTGTCTAATATCACTTTGATCGAATTCAGAGAATTAAAGATTGTTGTAAATATAAAATAACTACATGTTTCTTTAACATATAGGAATAAGCTCTGAGTGGTGAGCAAAATTCAGTGAAGTTCTAAATCACAAGCTTCCCTCGATTAACGGGGCTGGTGGATTTTGAGGATTACCTGAATAATTTTGTATGAAGTCAAAATATTATCTGTATAATTATAGGAAAATACACTCAGGAATTTTTTTTTAAAGTGGACACTACTTATAAGTAAGATTTGTAAGTAGACAGTTGATATAAACTCATCTTTTGTATATCAAAATAAGCATTAATTAATCAACTTAAAGATGGTATTCAATCGGAATCATTCCATTCACGTATGAGTGAACTTAGCCACCTAACAATAAATGAGTCTCTGCAAGAAATTGCCAAATATGGGGAATTTAATCATTTAGGTGTTGATGAGGATTTCCATCTAGTACGTTCAAATTAAAATAATGAAGACAAGAAAATCACTAGAATCACGAAGGGATACTTGGGAAAATCTTGCATTCCTGAATCCTGAGACTGCAGTGGTTATCTAGAGAAATCAGAAGCAGGAAGTCTTTACTGATTTTTCTAAATCCAATTTTCTCTCATTGAAAACATGTTTCAGTGCAAAAGAACTGTACGTACTCAACTCGCAGTAAAACTCAATAGAATGGGAATACATGGATTAAAGAAAATATATATTTATAAATCCTCTAAAAAATGTCATTGGGTGATGTGTTTAGGATGGTGAGAAAATGCATGCATGCACAGATTTTTGTTATTTATAGTAAGATAAATGTTGTATCTTCGAGAATTTTAGAATGAAAATGTCAAGTTTAAAATGTTTTTAATGTATTGTTTGCATGTATTGATTGTATAACACACTGTACATAATTTAGTACTCATAATTTCGAAATGAAAGAACAATTTTGACATTTTTTTCCCAATGCATAGATTAGCTCACATTCATAACGATACATCGCCTGATCATACATTATGAGGAGTACTTGTTTTACTATCCATGCAGTCTCCAAGTACCTAAAATCATAAGATCATCAGAAAATTATATTAAATTCGAAAGACAATGTTTGTCTGCTTGTTTGTTTTATCTTAGCACTGTGGCATACTTCAGTCAAATGGCTGTTCTTCAGCATGGCCGTACATGGCCATGATATAGACCGGCATATGGTTAACATTTTATTTCTAATCTGTAGAACCAAGATATATTTTTGTACTTAGAGGTTATTGATCAATACTATATCCTGTTATTAAAACAAGAACGGCTACCCGCGTGCCCAAAAACAGGAAATTTCATACATTTCGATTTGCATTTTGGTGCATACACTTGAAGAGATACATGCTGTGTTTGCAACATTGCAGGGGATTTAAATTAAAAACAAATTATGAAGAGAAGACCAAAGCAACGCTTATCATGATGTACCAGCTTCTGACCGTAATACGACAAACAACCAGTAATATGTTTGGGACATTAAAAGTGTGCAGCCCTCGTCGCACAGCAAGAACGCGTAACCTTCTTTACCATCAAACTCTATATTTTACAGACAGAAACTAACATGTTTGTAAAAATGAAAAATGAAAAAAGCGAAGCAATATATACTTTGCTCTTTAAAGTTTCCGTAAAACAAAAGTTAACTCTATAACTCTTGCACAAGGATAGCGGGTATCCCGGAAATATCCCCAGGGTTCCGCCCCCCATATATCAACTTTTGAAATATAGGGCAATAACAGAGCAAATGGCAAAACAATCCCTTTCTCAGCGCCGCCCCACCCCCTAAAAAAGAGGCCCATAAATATTGGCCTCCTGAAAAAGCCCTTTAATACGGTAACGACGGCAAGTGAATTTAAGTAATTTACCGACAAATAGAAGCCTGCATGCCTTGTCGGAGAGAGGGGAAAAGAGAGAGTTAATATTAGAGAAAGAGAAAGAAAGAAAGAAAGAAAGAGAGAGAGAGAGAGAGAGAGAGAGAGAGAGGGGGAAGGGAGGGAGATATATTTTATTGCAACTGGTAGATCGCAGAGTTATATTTTGTATCTTTTATGCACAGAGTCGGCATTGACATTGATCTCAAATAGAGATGAGATTGAGCGCAACTCACTATTACTTAGACGGTGAAAATTGTATTGCCCATGAATCCCTTTCTTGTAGTATAAAGACAAGCGCGAGAGTTATCATGTTTAGAGCCAAATAAGATAATTCAATATGGTAAATATAGACTTTTGGATATTTCAGCAACGGTATAACATCAATAATACTTATATTGAACATCCCTGGCTGAAGCAACTCCCTCGTTCTCTCTCCTTAATATCCTGATCAATTTAGAAAGGCAAGACAGTTGCCAAGTTCGAAGGAGGGTGTGAGGAGAGGGGAGGGGGGGGGGGGAGGAGGAGATAGGGGAGGGAAGATGGTGAGGGGAGGGGAGAGGTGAGTTGAGGTGGGAGAGCCCTAGAGGGGAGGGGAGAGGAATATAGAAGGGAGGGAAGGGGAAGGGTTTTGATGTTGATGATAATGGTCAAGGCCGGGACCCCATTTTATCAGACTATTCATTAGACAAATTTGACAAAGAGTATCTTCATACGTTGGAACTCCCCCATCGGGATCCAATTTTGGGG